CCTGAAGGTGGTGCCACTATTTGAGTAGCTGAAGTGGTGCCACTTATTGAGTGGCCAATGGGGGTTCTGCCATAGCACATATTCTAATGCTGGTGCTACTATTTGGCAGCCATGTAGTTGGTGCTGCTATTGAGCAGCGAATTGGGTGCTTGCTAGCTTGATGGTCCAATGAGCACAGGTAAGCCTGTTGTGGGCTAAAGAGTTCCATTCTGGGCAAGTGGCCTGGTGTCACGTGACCAACACCTGATAACTTCTGAATAGGGCAAGTGGCCAGTGCCACATGACTGGGTAGCTAAATCATAGGCGCTTGGTGGTCATGTGGTAGACACAGTCATATCCGCGATATATGTGGTGGTATTGTGCTGTTTGTCTAAGTATCCACTTTGTGAGACCAATATGAAGGTTGGCGTCTGAATAACCACTTGTGGTTGTCAAATGATGACTTTATTGGTGCAAAAAGAAAGGTGCCACTTAATACTGTGACACAGACATGAATGATGTGATTTATCAGTGTGAGAAATAGTGTGGGAATGTCAGCTGATGTCTTACATTTGTGGCAAAGGTTTGCCAATGTAGCGTTTAAATGGCAAATAGTGCACATTCACAGCCAAAGTGAAACATTTTTAACCTGAAATGCTGTGGTTGCAAATATTTGTTGCATGCGTTAGAAATCAGTCGACATTTACATACAATTTTCTGCATTGATAAATCGCACCATGTCTGCCATGATAGGTGCGGTGGCTGCACCACATGAAGCGCTGAGCGGAGATCAAACAAACACGTTATACTGATGATTGCTTCCACCTCCGATTGGCTGTCCCCGTGAGGTATGGAGGGTCTGGGAACAAAAACTAGAGATATCAAATCTGTACATTATCATACAAAAATACTCAGCATTAACATAAGTGAAAATGTGGAGTGAGGTGGCTCCGAGCGATTACATCAATTCAGAATCCCCCAAGAGCTTACATCCCCACGAGGGGGTCTCCAGTGCGGAATGTTTGATGCCAATACCCCAAATCTGACTCTCTGCGACCAAAAATGTTCGATCTAAAACAGACCCCATATGGGACCATTTCGAGCTCAGGTTTGATCCCGAATGACCCCACTTTCATCCAGGACGATGGTGTTCCAGAGGTTTTTCATGATTTCTTTGACAGTTTTTCTCAATTTCTGTATGATTTTATCCAATTTTGATAGATTTTTTCCGATTTTTTGTAGAGGTTTGATCCCAAATTGCCCCCAAATTGACCCCATTTGGGAGGAGGTTCGATCCAAAACACCCCACTTCAGACCGTTTTCGAGACCCCATATCGAGCCTCAGCGGGATCGAAGCTCTTGGGAGATTTTCGGGAGTCCTATATCACCGGGGGCATGAGCCCATGATTCCGCCGGGAACATTTTGAACACATCATGATAACAGTCACAATGTAACTCTACTGTTACTGATGTAAACATTATGAAATAATTTGAATTATTTCGAGTGAGTTCATTGTGGAATAATTGTGATATTATTCAGAAAGACACCATGGTGCGACAACAATTTTACTCTGGCCAGCATTCACAAAATATGTTGGCAACACTTTGAATGAATCATAAGGATACATTAAAAATGTGATCAATGTGATATTTGAATGCTGTCAGCTGCAACATTGGGGTCTCATTCTTGCATCTTTATGAATGCTATCAAAATTGTTCCACAATGCTAATTCTTAAAACATCTTAAAACATTCAAAATGATTTCAAGATATATGCACTGAAAACATTGCGTAATTATTTGGACTGTTATTACAATGTGTCCAAAATGTTCCCGGCGGAATCATGGGCTCATGCCCCCGGTGTATCAATTCGCACTTCGTGCTCGGCCATGGCCACAGCGAGCCTACCATCCCGCCTGGACCCGCCATGCAGAGCTGCTTTCGCCGTCTACGCGACAATCCCAAATCCAGCCGCGGTGGCTCGTATTGTCTTCACGCCGCGAGCTATGGGCTATCGGCGAATGCGGGTTCACAAAATGAAACGTCTCAAACTTCCCATTCAATCCGACGCCACCGAGAGGGCCTCGCACCGACATTTGCTGCCCGCTACAATCGTGAGTCGCGAAGGATAATTTGCTAAAAGAGAATGGGGGCAACGTGACGGCGAAGGAGTAGTTGGACAAGCTGAACGAGAAGCGGAGCAGACCCCGTGGTGTGCGCGAGATCACGATCGAGCAAGGCGAGGAGGACCTGCAGGTTGTTGGACAAAAAATATACCTGCCAAAACATCATCATTCGTATGGTGCATAATCACGCACCACCCAGGCATCCGTATAGCCCGTACGAGGCGACGTTCCGCTGCGAGGTATATGATCCCGTTCACCACGCCAATGCCCCAGTACCACCTCCGGACTTCAGAAGTATCCAGAACTGACTGGACAACTTGTATGTAGGTCCAGATCAACATAGCTTTGAAGGTCTGCGGCCACTCCTCTACTGCGTCTTTCATGAGCGCCAGTCGCAATTGCAGTTGCTACAGAATCTTGCGCCGTCAGCAGGGTGGCGGTGGTAATAAGGACTAGCATAAGGCATAGTACCTTACTCTCCGCATGTCGTCGTTCGTGGGTGGCCTATCCTTCCACGCCGGTGCAGACATAATCAGCCTGACGGACCACATATATACCTTGATGTTGGGCACATTGGCGGCTACAGCGAATGTCAAGATTGCACTCCATCAGAACATCTCGCTGGAGTCCATGCTCATTCGTTCACAATGATCTGCCCTCCGATGGCCTGCCGCTTCACCTTGTCCCGAATGACGGGACGTCACGCAGCCGGCCGAGCTGCTGCCGGAACGATGGGATATATTCGATGGTGCCTGCTGTGCGTTGGGCTCTGCTGCAGGCAGTCTTCGGGGTCGCGTGAAAGTCAATTGGCGATACAATACGCGACATGTGGGCAGGAGCCGCAGGACTGAGTGCAAGTGCCAAGAACATGGCTCGCCACAAGCATGTACATAAAGGCGATTAGCCCGGTCGCGTCTCGCGCCTTGCAAAATTCCCCGCAAGCTCCGAATATCCAAGCTCGCAATCATGACTGGACCGATCAGAATCGCATCAAATAAACATTGAATACAGTCGCTGTCAGTCAGACTGTGAGAACGGTGATCATAGTGATTTCACTAAGCTTAGCACATTATAATATCAGTATCTTATTAGGCCCAAGCCGCGGCTCGAGTAATTCTCAACGGCCGTCAAGCATCTAGGAGAGCGCTCAAAGAGATCGACAATGGAGTCCAATATGACTTCCGACGAACTCTGAGCGCGTGTTGGATTCTCTGCCGCTGGCATGCTCGAGGGACTAGATGATCGCAACTAGGCACGAGACTTACACGGTAAGAACACTTCCACATACCAATGATGCACCGTCTGTGTAAAAGCACCGAGTGTGACTCAAGATGAGCTTTTGTTCTCAGCCGCCGTATGCTGTAATCAAAATGTGCGCTCAGAATGTGCACACATGTATGTAAGGTTTGGATGCATGCTGGGGGTACATGATACCACGGTTCCTGACGTCCAGGCGGGGTGCACGCACGGAGGAGTCGGGCAAGACGTCTGCTGCATTGATTGCGAGCCTTCTACAGCTGATAGCATTTGCAACGCGGAGAGATCGAGCGTTAGAAGTGTTTGAATTTGCCGGTAGATTGTCCACATGACTCCGTGGCACACGCGGCGTAATATTCCCCGTGATTTGCGGTAAACCACCATCACGTTTCCGAGTAAAATCGAGCATCTGCAATCGCATCGCAATCCGTGATTAAATATCAGGCATTAAAGAAAGACTTCATGTTATCTACTTGTGAGCTGTGCTTGCGAGCATGGAGAGCGTATTAACAGAAGTACCGTTGTCCAATCTGGGCGATAACAACATTAATACAGGACGCGTTAGCCGTTGAAACCGAGGCATTCACGAACAGCATCATACTCCATTCATACGACTGTCTCATGAGCGCGCTCAGCCTGGTCCAAGAGATTTCCTTCCATACTTCGCGGACAATCTTCTTCGTCCTCCTCCTCCTCTTCGTCCTCGCCATGTGTTTCGGCAAATGAAGTTAATGTCAGATTTTGAAGGTCGGCGCCGAGATCTCCAACAAATCGGGACACCGGTCCGCTGCTCTGAGCCTGGGCATCCAAGTCGCAATCCGAGGGCGATACACCACGCCCTCGTGACATTCCGCGCAGGTCCAGGATGAAGCGCGTCATCATCAAGGATGAAGTGGTGCTAGAGATGAAGTAGAACTTAGCAGACCCCGAGTTCTTTGTAAAGAGTTCGATATTAACTTACGCCATGAAGAATCCGTTAGGTACTAATATTACTGATATCTGGAAGTATCAACACGTAAGCGATGAAGCTACTCATGATGATGTCTTTCAGACAGGCATATGCACCTTCTGTAAGTCGTTCAATTCAGACCAGAGAACGATGCCAAGGATATTCATGACGAGCACCCTCCTAATATCACTCCGTCAGACGTCAATACAGCCACTCTCATGGTGACCCACTTACGAGAAGTAGTGGGTTGCTTTTTTTGACGTTCAAAATCGTCAGCTATAGACTACCACTCGCTACCCAATCCGCATGCGCACCATTCTTTAGCAGGAACACTCCGATAGAGCCGTGTATGTTGGCCTGATGAGCTGTTCGAGCTACACTGAATGTCTTGTGCAACGTCACAAGGATCACAAGCAGATCCGATACGAGACGAAAGATCCTTGCAGGAGCGATCACTGGCGGTGCAATGTGAGTGCAGAGGTCACGACGCAAGAAATATCAGATTCATTACGGCTGTATCGGGCAGGATCAGTTCAACATACCACGGATAAAGCTCGGTACCTACGTATCTTCCAGGTTCGAATAGACGCGCAGGAGATCTGCACACATTGCGCGACCGCCAATGCGTACAATGTATGAAGGAGATTCTCTTGTTACGAAAGTGTACTATTCGTTGCGGTTAGCTAACAACATATATGTCTAGGTGATACGTACGATATTCATGCACACTGGAGCTAATCCGCACGAAAACGTGAGAATGGCTAGAAGCCAGTTCTGCTCGTTGATCGCGTACACGCGCAGACCACGTAGGACTAACACGATTATAATGAGCTAGCGAACAGTGAATGCATTCGATCTGTGACCGACCTGCCATGTTTGTTTCCATAGCCAGCCCAATACATTGATACAATACGAGAGTTGCTTCACAGCTGTTTCGTCCCGGAATATTATTTCCTGATCTAGACAAGAAAGTACCACGTCTCCTACCCCTAACATCGTTGTGTGAATTGACGTGGGAATGGTCGCGTAGATTAGCTTACAAGTGCGGTATTCCAATTGATGGCGGATAGGGAGAGGGCCATGGCCATCAACAAGAGCAAATAGCGGTTCAGCAAGAATAGTGCGGTGACAAAGGTGAATTGAGTCCCTCGCCAGAGGAACGAAACCTCATCGGGCACAGTAATCAGATGTTCATAAACGAGCACAGCTATGATCATGCGTCAGCGACAAAGCGGATGACAACAGCAGTGCTCATTATAACTCACAAACCACGACATAAGTGCAACGATCACTTATGAGACTGGAAGCCAAACACTTAGCCAACCATGGAACCTTGCTTGATGGCTCGACTTACTTGGAATATATGAAAATGATATCATCTTGATGGTCTAGTGTGGATGCCATCCTATCCGCGTTGAATCCAAAGGTGATAGAGATGAGTAGCGGTGGTCCTGGGTGGACTGCCATGCCTGCATTTATAGGCAGGTTCAACAAAACTCGGAGAGCTATCGCCGGTGACCAGAGCACATGTCATTCAGTGCTATCGATCACAGGCATCTCTGGCTGCCAGATCTAGGCGGTTCCCTTCATACTTTTGTGCAGGGAGCATGCATGGAGCAGTTGTAGATGATATGTGACATACAAGGCGCTTGCGTGGCTTCCGTCAATCTGTCAAATGAGCGACGTGAAGCGTGCGGACCACCACTGGACAAGTGTTGTGCAGAGTGAAGCTTGGATGGATAGAACCCTATGGAAGTCATGTGCGACGATGCTCGACGGGTGCTGCAAGGCAATGTTTCGCGTAAGATTGTAGAATGCTAACGGACCGATCAGTGCTCAACAGGAGTGGTTTCACTCGGAACGTGGAACACTTCTGTGCGAAGATGCACGTATCTCGCATGGTGAGCAGCGACGATCATGAAAGAACTAGCACTGGCAACGGGCAAGCGTTGGACACCTATCGTGCAGCGAATTTAGCGCTGGGCTCGTCAGGGAAACGTTCTTTCTTTAGCGTCTTCCAAGCGAGGTATCCAGCTGCTGCCGCCACCTCTCCAAATGATGAGCCAATTGACGTAGAGTGTGTACCGCGTGTGTAAGGCGAAGAACTCACCAAGTTGTGGCCCCAATGGGGTGGTGATGTCCGATCACGAATGACCAAGATGCTCCAAGGTTGCCATCTGCCAGTGTAACATCATGTAGTGCGCTACTTACGGGCTTTACTGACTAGCCTAAATGATAGATTGGAGGTCAGCAGCTTATAATCGGATGTCAAGCTCGGGTTGCTAAGAGGATGGCCGTGACGATGTCAAGATGTACATAGAAGCACTGGGACGTAGATGATCGCACCGTCCTCTTATTATTGCGCTGACGGCTCAATGTTCGTTGGCCTCCGACAACGTGAGTCTGCAGCAGGAATGGACTTGGCTCCTGTAGGATGACGGCAGAAATTGTCATGGACGCAGCCGTAGCTGTCGAGACCGCAGAGTCCAGACAGGTCCGACGACCGACATGACTATATACCGCTTATGCTCTGCGGATGAAAGACGAGGAGTACATGTCAAGAGAAGGATCTTACCGGCGACAGAACTTAGAAGGGCGTACCTGTGAGATTTGACACCTTAGAATTGGTCGCAAGACCGTGACAGCGCAACCTTGAAGCGGCGATTGAGCATCGGCCATCTGCAAGCTAAGATTGTCTACCAGCAGCTATATTGCACTATATTGCACTATATAGTGAAACTTAGCACATTAATCAAGACTGCAGATCTCCTCCATCAGGAAAACTCGAATCGACTCGTGGCTCGAGAACCTCCTTTTTGACTTGTTCTTGTTGGTATTGGCTTGGGCACGATAAGAAGCTTCCAACCCAGAAAAAAATCCAAAACAAGAAGGTCCTGAGACTTTCTCGAGCTTACTGTCTTTTTTGGTGACGGCAAGCGGTTAAGAGTGTCCTAAGCCGGACTTGAGTTTTCCTAACGCTACGAGAAAAGGATGTCATCGGCAAGCAGAAGAGCGTACCTGTGAGATTTGAAATATAACAATTGGTCGCAAGACAGCGCAACCTTGAAACGGTCATTGAACGTGCTCACTGTCTCCAACAGAGAGCAACACCGTGCATAGCAGTATGCATCAGGTAGGATTACTCGCGTGAGCGCGTGTCTGAAAACAAATGAAAGCGTGGTTCAGGGCGCATTGCAGTGCGACCCGACGGCCATCAAACGATTACATATATGCAAAAAATACGAGGGCTCGTCTCGATCGTAACTGTTTGATCGCCTGCCATGCGGCTGGGCGTACCTGGCAAACACCCTCACGCTAGACGGCTCGCGAAGCCATCCCACGTATATTCGAGCGGGGGGGCAGGAAGAGACGGGGTGCGAGGACGAACTTCCGGCTGCATCTACGCATCGCGGAAGGAGCGCAGCCAGCTCGGAGATGCCGAGGGTGAGACGTGATTGGCTGCCGTGCGCAGCGACTCGCGTACTCAAGATAAATGTCAGGAGCGTCGTAGGCAGCGGATCCTCCCTCTTCCTCAATACTGGCTCCCTTTGTCTTTCCACCTGAGGCAGTGGCTTCCCAATGCAGTGGCGAGCTTGTTCTCTGGCCAACCACCATCGGCGCCGTCACCACTCTCGGCAGAAGATTGCACATCCCTCAGCACTCTCGGTGATTAGATAAGATGTGGTCGGACCCGAGTTGCCAAGTGTTTCCTAATTGAGAGCCCAGCAGCCGCGACGACAAACGCGCCTCCTTGGACGCTCTTCGCATCCGCACCGGTCGCCCTCGCCCGCGTCCCAAGAGTGCATGGCGCGACCTCGATGCTCGTTCCGCTCTGGGCATCTACTCCGTCGTCACACGAGCTCCCGGCTCCCCTGCTGCGCCATCGGCATCTCTCAAATCTCAAAGCTAACCAGCCTCGTCCATACGTAATCTCCCTCTTCTTTCCTACCTTCTCCTATCATCCACCTACTTGCATCTAATCCATGCCATGAGGTTCTTCCTCTCTCCTGCGCGCCCCAACAACGCCGACTACCTCCCGCTCTCTCAGCTGCCCTATGAGCCCACCCTTCCAACGCCCACCAGTCGTTCGCGCGCGTCCTCTATCCGCCTCCGCCTCCTCGTCGGCGCCCTCCTCGCCACTGCCGCCATCGGCCTCTTTGCCACATCCCGTCTGCTCGTCGATTACGAGGATGACTTCGACGACGGCTTTTCTCTGCACCAGACCTTCTACCTCCCGTTTCGCGTCCCTCGGCGCGCCCCGCAAGACAGCCTGTCCGCGTTACAGCCTGCCCATGCTCTCCCTGCATCCTGTCTAGACCACTACTTCTCCTTTGGGATACCGTGCTATGTGCCAGAGACGCCAAGGCTCGACTTTGTCTGGACGTGGGTCAACGGCTCAGACCCGCTCCTCCTCGAAGCCAAGGAGGATGCTCGTGCGCAGTACAGCCAAGACGACCCTTACCGACCAGTGGACTCGGACAACCAGGAGCGCCTCTACCGGTACGTCCCCCTCCCTTTGGACGCGGACGCCTCGTTTATGCACCCTCAGCGACCACGACGAGCTGCGGCACTCGCTCCGCTCCGTGCTCGCGCACTTCCGCACGCACATGGGCACCGCGTACCTGCTGACCTCCGACTTTCCCGTCCCCGCGACGGATCCGCAGCTCAACTTTTCGCGCGCAGCAGACTGGCGCCTTGGTCAGGTACCACAGTGGCTCGATCTGAGACAAGGGGCGGCGGGGGGCTGGACAGATGAAGACGTCACGCTGAAGGTCGTGCATCACGCAGAGGTGTTTGACGATTACAACGGCACGGTGTTCAACAGGTGCGTGGTGGTGGCTGTATGCGGCGGGACGTGGAGCTGACGTTTCCGCAGCTTGGCCATTGAAAGCCAGTTGGCCCACGTGCAGGGCGTTACGGACTACTTGTGAGTTCTCGCACGCTGTCTATCTGCTCCATAGGCGCTGATCGATCCTCGGTCCCGCGCAGTGTATACATGGTGCGCTCACACAGGCACGCCCGGATTAGTGCTGACCGCGCATGAGCAGAATGACGACCTCTACATTCCTACCGACATTCTTCCCGCGACGTTCTTCACGTCAGGTGCGTTCCTTCGCACGTATATTACATTCGCTCCCGATGACACGTGAACAGCATATGGCGTCGTGCTACACCTCGATTCCTCGCTCATGGTCCCGCCATCGCGGCCAACGCAAGAGACGCCAGGCGAGTGGCGCGGCATGGGCGAGTCGAATTACATGCTCAGTGCGTTGCGCGTTCTCCATCTTTTGCTCGTCCACTGATCTCTCGTGTAGGCGAACGCTTCGGCGAGCGGTACCGTCCGTACGTGATGCACGAAGCCAAGATTGTCGCGCGACCGCTGCTACTCGAGGCGCAGGCGATCTGGCGAGCCGCCTTTGCGCGCAGCGCGGCGCATCCCTTCCGCGAGACCGCGGGCCCGGGCGACCCCGCGGACATCAACACGCTGTTCCTGCACGGGCACTTTTTGGTGGAGAGGGCGCGCGAGGGCATGATTTGGAGCTGGGTGGTGGGGAGGGTTGGTGGGGTGGCGGATGAGTGGGGGTTGGGGGAGGCGAGGAGGGCGTGGGAGGAACTGGGGGGCGTGTGGGAGGGGGAGGGACCGAGTGCGCGGGAGGTGTATGTGAGGAGTGGGTATAGAGAGACGTTGGAGGGCGGTCGGGTTGAGGAGACGCTCAGGGAGAGCGGGGTTGATGGGCTGGGGAAGACGATGTACGTGTTTTGTGAGTGCCATCCACTCGGGTTCGTATTGCGTATGTTTTGACACTGGCTGCCTCGCGCGATAGCCTCGCTAGACGGGTACGCGTATGCGACGCTCGGGACGTGGGGCGCGCCCTTCCCGTCGTTCCTGCGGGATGTGTATGAGGAGGAGCTTCCTGTGTGCCGCATTGGTTACGACGAGTGCTTCGCGGGGTATGACTCTGCGAGCGAGGTTTTCAAGAATGTTGCGTTTCGGAGGCCAGAGTGCGGTGATTGCGGTGCGTTCTTCGATTCTCCATCCATTCCATCGTTCTGTGAATTGACTGGGTTCGTTTGCAGTGATCTCCGCTCTCGTACGCGCGAGCGGCCGTCTAGGCGTTTCGGCGTTTTTGCCAGATGCTGAGCGCACGCTGGGCTCAATCCCGGGGCGGTTATCGTCGAATACGAAACTGGAGGATATCCCGCACCTCCCGCTGGTCGAGCGCTGGGTGGACGGAGACTTTCGCCTGCGCGAGGTTATGAGGACTGGAGGGAGGGGAAGGAGGAGCGTGAGGCAGTGGACGGAGAAGCTTTTGGAGCGATATCGATATGTCATCGGTGAGTCCCTCCCTGTCCTTCAACTCACTCAAGAAGACCGCTGATGCATGATGGGTCGGGCGCAATGCAGGGTGGACGCCGTCGATGTTTGAGCGGCTGTATAACCCGGAGCAGGCGGCGGAGACGCTGCGGCGCGTGGAGGAGAACGAGGAGGTCGCGTTGTTGTGTATTAATGATGATGTGGAGGAGGGCGCGGAGGAGGTTGCGCAGCTGTTTAGGGCGTGGCAGGAGGGGCGGTGGGGCGTTCCGGCGAGGTGGGAGCGGTATCAGAAACCACGCGGCGGGGTGCTTGGTTGAAGGGACTTGTTCTCTTGGATGAACGGGTTCTGTTTACTGATCGGCTTGCTACCGTCTCTCTTCCCACCCCCGGGGGACCGCATCGTCTCTCCCCGATGTCTTTGATCACAATCTGCTACTTAGATGCGTTTCGCTGTCAACTCGCATCTCCCATGTATTGCGGCCAAAATTGCTGCCTTTCCCTTTCCCTCTCTCCCTCCCCGCGCCTCTTCTCCATCCCCTTGGCCTCTCACGCCCGAAAACTGGATCATCCCCTTCGCACATGTTCTCGCAAAACTTTTCCTTCAATTCTTTATCTCTCGCACTTTTCACTTTGCATTTTGCATAACAGGCACACTCCAAGTTGCTCTCGCACAACCATCGTGATTCGTGGGACATCGATATCTGATATCTTGTAATACTGGCATCCGTTGTAAGTTTGTTGTCACTCGTGATGTATAATCGCACGTTCGCTGCGAGCGGATTGAATGAGGAATTAGGATTTGTGTATCAATTGACTTGGAGCGCGGATGGCTGATGAATGACGTGGACGATTGGCGCGGTTTGTGTTTACAAAGCGTTGGGATTGTGGTGTTTGGAGTAGGTGGGTGCTCGTACTCGTCTTTCAGTTGTCTGTACAGGAAAGATCAACCGCCCTTAAATGCTATCATTACGTCCAAACGATCGAGCGTTCGCCGAGTCGCTTTCAACGAGCGAGATATTCCGGGTGCGCCAGTGCGGTCCCGGTGCAAGCAACCCAGCATGACAGCAGCCTGGGCATAGCCCACGCGAACCAGCGCTTCGAGAAGCCATGGAGAAACTCAACGGTGTGTATGGAGTAAGCTCTCTGCCTACGTTGAGTCCACATGCTGGATTCAAACCACAGCGACAAGTGTGTCTATGCCAGAGTCAAGAAGGGTACAAGAGGTCTGATCAACAAGCCTGTCGATGCCACAGCGCGGCGCCCATGACACTCGAAGGGGGCTCCTCTCAGGAAGCGTCCACGTGTACAGCAAGACCACGTACGCGGAGGTGTTAGGATATTGATGTTGCGGTGCCCCATAGCGTTCCGAAGAGGGCGAGGTGTTTGATCGAACGTGAGAGTCGCCCATAGACGCAAGAAGCTCGGAACTGTGCTGTCGAGATCATGTTCGGTGCAGAATTTCAATAGTTTCACTGGAGAGCGGTCGCCCGTCGGTGAGATGGCGATATGGCGGGTAGCGGGCTCCGGCTAGCACGACGTTTTCCGAGCTGGGCGAGTAAGTGATACCAGGCTGGAACCACTGAACCTGTGGCGCCGTGTAGCCGAAATGCGTCTTCCTCGCCGTATTCTCGCGTTCAGGAAAGTCGGTATCAATGAAGCAATACCGATGCATATGCAGTGAACTTTGGATATGTGAAAGTATTCTTCTTTCACAGGCTAGCTCAGGCTTTCATCCACAATCGATGAGACACAGCTCGTGGACTATCGTGATTCAGGCGATAAATCGTACACTATTAAGTTCGCGACGGCTTTGCGACTTGTTGAGATATGATCGACCATTTGAGAAAACGAGATCGGCTTTTGACGCGTGATACTCGAGCACTACACAGTGACATCTGTGATCAGAGGTCCATTGTACGCCTCCAACTTAGACAATTCAGTTGAAATCACTCTCACCTACTTGTAGATTACTAGTGGACCTCTTCGACCTCCGGATCGCGCGCAGAACTCTCCTTTAAACCTGCTGTGAGGCTTTCTCCGTCCGTCGCCATAGGTGAATCACTGTCATCTATTGCATCATCGTCGGGGCCGAGTGCGCCGGCAGTCCCGATAGGAATATTGAGGTCGAGATTGGCGCCGAAGTCTTCAATAATACGAGAGTCTGACATAGTGAGTTGGAGAACGTTCGTTGGATTTACATTTTGGCGAAGATCGAAGAGGAATCGGGTTGTAAGTATTGAAGAGATCCTGTGAAGAGGAAGAGACGTTATTCTGGTTTTTCAGCGAGACCTAGCACTTGCATACATTATCAAGAAGGTTTGGAAAGTTGAGACAAACCAAGTCGATGTCTATGGAGACGTGATTAGTGTATGGTTCTCCTGAAGCGAGAAACGTGCGCACTTTCGCGATCTGATTTGTGCTCACGATCATCTCGACAACAAACAAAATGAGGAAAGATCTATGAACAAACACCAATTAACCTCAGTCGAGCTGCGTCATGATTCAATCCGAGAAGAAGCGCACATGAAATACAGGCTACCTAGCTTGATTGATCAAAACGTCGCACACATGTGAATTGCAGCAGTGTGGCTCACCGTTCCGCAACAGAAGTATTCCGACCGGTATTGTCGTTCCCATGCCACGAACACGTCTGTCGGTTCGGAACGTTTTGAGCCATGTCACAGCAAGCACGATAACTTCGGCGAACATGGAAGCCATAAGAGCCACCATTAGTACTTAGAGTTCAAAGACATCAGGCCTGCTAACATGCGACTCATGATGTACGACAATTTCTTACGGCTAGTACAGCATTCCAATGAGACAATATGCTGCAGCAGTGGTTACTCACTCACAACATGTACTTGACAGCGGAGCCATGTTGTATTGCAGCGCACACTGGAACCGTGCCGATGTACAACACCTCGAAAGATAGCCTGGAGTAGACATACTTGGTATAGGTGGATAAGCGATATATATATTGAACACCGAGTAGACTCACAATATTCCACAGTCCTTGAGCTGCTTCCAATATAAAAACAGATAACACCAAGACGTAAGTTCGGTCGTTGAGGGCGTACACTCGCAGAGCAGATACTGCTGCATATGACGACCAGTGCGAATACCTCAGTGTCAGTCCGAACAATTTAATAGAAATACTGACCTGATGCAACAGTGGTAAGCACCACGAGGCAGATTATGTTCAATACGGTTCCCGACTCACAGCTGGATAATTGTCAGTGTTGTCTGACATTCATATCCACCTAAGGGGCTAATCACCTCTGAATGACATGTCAGCTTCTTCTACAATGCAAACTGGAGCACTCACTGTTGCGCTATGTGGAGACGTGGCGCTGACTAACAGAATGATCACCACCGATAAAAGCATGTAGCGATTGACAAGAATGATAGCAGTGCCAAGAGTCAGTCTTCTGGCTGGGATTCAGACCAAGACAATCTCTTCGGCTAGTGTTCCTAGGTGTTCGCACACAATAGTAGCTGTCGATGGATCATTGATACCAACGACTAACAGGTAATGAGGTGCTCAGCTTCGAGAAACGTACTAGCCATCGCAATATTCCAGTATAAAAAGAAGTTCCTGGATGCAGACTCCATTCTCAGCTTGTTAAATGATGAGACTTCTGAGCCAACTCACACTTCCTGCAACATCCTAATATCCTCACTGTCCAATGAGAAGGTCATGATAGGGCAGCAGATGCTTGCGCACTTTGAACAGCACACATACCGGCTGAGGCCTACTGGACATTTATATCAGCATTTTCGACCTGATGACAGCTGCGACGTCCCACGTACCACAATTGAACGCTAATAAAGTGCCTGAATTGGTAGCCCCACCTTGCGGAAAGAATTTGTTCTCTCAGAGTCGAGCAGAAACAGATGCTATGGAACCATCAAAACTGTGAAATTTGCAATTGTTGAAGATGGTACGGAAAGTCAGATGAGATATGGCCGCAACGGCATAAGACTTCAACATGAAACGCCAAGCCCAAGCACCCAGTGGTCTGCTCCTCAAGTCTGGCTAGTCGAGGTATGTGAGCGCAAGGCTTAAACGCGACACTCGTATTGCCGCGATCAAACCATTGATCAACATCGTTGTCAACTTTGTGTAGCTCGGATCGCGGCATCATGGTTCGAAAGGCCCGCAACCGAATCGCACGAATGGACAGCATTACATACTGCGTGGATTGTGCGCTAGCCTAGGAACGAGCGGCAGCAGTGGACCGGATCAAATGCCAGAGTCATTCTGGTGCGTTATCGCCAACACGGTTACCTGAATATGCGGACAGGGTATAGCGGCTTCCTGGCTCGCCATATGATAGCGGGTATACTAGGGAATGGTCTGCGATGCACACTCGTGAGACATGCCAGCCAGTGCTGCGATGACTCACGGAATGGAACGTGATCGGAAATCACTTTTGCCAGTTGCTGAACCTGTCATGTCATATGTGGTTAGATACATATGGTGCTATGATGCTGAGAAGAGTGGTCTCGTGGGCAGTGCACCGGACCTCCACTGAGTTCGCTTCGCTTCGGTGTTACCACGGACATCAGTCTCCTAAACCCGATCAGCCACATTTGATGTTTCCGGTCAGATGAATGCCATATACATAACAGCCGAGCCATTATGGTGATTATTGAGATAGGATATCATACGTCCTGATCATGATGATGTCGGATGCCATTTTGTCAACTGCATGTTTACCGCACATGTCAACTTCAGTCTGTTGGCTCAAAAATCTCAACGATGAGCTGACTTTTCAATCATGCTATAAATCAGAAGCTAAGGACACTGTCAGAGAGATTACTACACATCATACCTGATGGCGGTATGCTGCGAGTGTGAAAATAGGTGGTATGTTGTGAGTGTGAAATAGACAGTGACGCTGGTGCGTTACTGCTGCAGTAAATGGATAGTGCAACAGAAAAATCGGCCGCGTATATTGCAAGCTTCCATTCGGGCAAAGGGATCGATTTATATTTCAGCTCAGAAGCCTGTTTGGTAGTGATTGAGACGTATGAGAGTCCCATGATCACGGCATAAAGAGATACAGCACACGAACACCGGCGCGATGCAATATGCCTTATTTAAAACATCAGGAAAATGTCACTTTTTCTTTTTTGCTTCTTTTTATACCTTTTCCTTACAAAAAAGGCAGAAAAGAAAATAATGTAGAAAAAAGCGTGAGGATCGGCTTGAATTTGCCTTATCTGCTTCTTTTTGAGCGCTTTTTGGGTGCTTTCTGATCAGAAAGTTTGTGAAAAGTCCGTTCAAGGATAAAAGGTTAGAGAATCTGCATTTGAAATTTCCTGATAGGCTTCCGGGCTTTTGTTCCTTTAATGGACTTGATGACAACTTTTTGGGCAAATCAGTGTTGCCAAGTGTCGTCAAGGCCATGAGAAAGTGAGGAATCAGCCGATCCTCATGCTTTTTTCTACATTGTTCTCTTTTCTGCCTTTTTTGTAAGAAAAAGGTACCAAAAGAAGCAAAAAAGAAAAGTGATGTTTTCCTGATGAAACTCGCAGCTCTGTTGTCTTGCAGCAAAATTCTTGATGAGCAGGTACTCCAGGATAGCCGATAGAATCAATGTGAGATGCAGAAGAAAACAAGGTGTGCAACTTGTCAAACAGAAGACTGGTCGGGATCCTGATGAGATGGTGGATTGCGGTACAGCTGTGACACTGCGTGATGCGACACGTCTTGAGTCTATTTGTCCATCGGTTATGATCACGAACTCTGACTTCCTATACTGTGGAAATCAACTGCCTTTGATGCTCTTACTGCAGTCCATCAGCGTGTTAACGACAAATTTTTGTCTGTCTATCTGAGTCATACAGCCATGCCCAGTGCATGCTGCATGCATTTGATACTGCCTCGAAGCCAGCAAGCAATACGAGGAAGACGGCACCATCGCATAGGCCTCCCTTGAAGGTGCAGTGTTTTTCTATGCAGTTAGACAAAATGCGAATACCAATATAAGCTTGAGTATCTCTCTTCACGCGCAGGTGCAGGATGTGACAGCGATCACCACTCGTCGAGCTCGTCAGGTACTAAGGGGGCACCAAACAGCTCCCTTCAGCTTCCGGGGGCTGTCATTGTTCACCAGCTACACGATTGTAATGTCTGCAGCTGAGCCAATCCTTTGTCAAGGACTCTTATATCTGGCTGAGGCAGCTAAGAGAGTCCTCGTATAGAATATTTCAGTATGTACTCCAACCTCGCATGCTATGGTTATTAACCATTCCACAGATCGAATTGGATATTGCCCTGCACCTGCAACACTTCACGATTTTCGAATCAAATAACTGCGAACATCAGCATTTACTTGGATGCTCGCTGTTCTGTATATCGTCAATCTGGAGCAGCTCTGAGTGCTCCATATCCTCTTTGATATTTATGAGATGCTCGTACTCGTTTTTCAGTTGTCCTTCGATGCTTTGGGAAGCGGAACCCCTTTTGAAACAGCACAACACATCTCGCATTGGTGTAATATCATCATTATGATGCATTCACTGCTGTGGTCAATGATTGGCAGAACGATGAGACCTGAAGCGAGGCAAATTTGGCTGAGCGAACAACTGTACAAAAATGATCAATCGCCCGTTAATACTGTGCATTCAAATGATCAAGTGTTCGCAGAGTACAGTTTTGGGGCCAACACAGCCAGATGTCTGCTATCTATGACAGCAGGGCATATAGTTCTTGCGAATTGACAGTTTGAACAGCCATGGACAAGCTTCCGGCTCCCCCTCCCCCAAGGTGTGTGTGACAGAGTAAGCTCTCTGCCTACGTTGAGCCCACATGCTGAATTCAGATGGCCACAGTGACAAATACATCTATGAGTCAAGAAGGGGCCATGAGGTGTGATCAACAAGTTCATCGATGCTACAGTGCTCAACACACTCGAGAGGGTGGGTCTTGCGAAGCGTCCACATGTAGTGACAGCGAGATCACGTATGTTAAGATATTCGTATATTAATGGCATCCCCCACAGCTTTTCATGGAGGGCGACATGGTGGATTTTATATAGCAAGCATCGTGCTTTTCAACTTACCAGAGTCACATATAAACACAAAAAGCTCGAAATTGTAATGTTGAAATCATTCTCGGTGCAGCATTTCAATAGAATCGAAAGAGCGGTCACCTGTCAGTAGGTACTAGGATGGCGATATGGTGGGTAGTGGGCTCCGGCTAGCATGACATATTCCGAGCTGAGTGAGTAAGTGATACTAGGTTAGAACCACTGAACCTGTGACACCGCATTGCCGCAATACGTCATCCTCGCCATATTCTCACAATTCATTTCCTGAAGAAAAGTCGATATCAATGAAGCAATACCAATGCATATGCAGTGAACTTTGGATATGTGAAAGTATTCTTCTTTCGCAGGCTAGCTCAGGCTTTCATCCACAATCGATGAGACACAGCTCGTGGACTATCATGATTCAGGCGATAAATCGTACACTATTGAGTTTGCGACGGCTTTGCGACTTGTTGAGATATGATCGACCATTTGAGAAAATGAGATCGGCTTTTGACGCATAATACTCGAGCACTACACAGTGACATCTGTGATCAGAGGTCCATTGTACGCCTTCAACTTAGACAATTCAGTTGAAATCACTCTCACCTACTTGTAGATTACTAGTGGACCTCTTCGACCTCTGGATCGCGTTCAGAACCCTCCTCTAAATCTGCTGTAATGTTTTCTCCTTCCGTCGCTGTAGGTGAATCACTATCATCTACTGCATCATCGTCTAGGCTGAGTACGCTGGCACCCCCATTTGAGATATTGAGCTCGAGATTGGCAACGAAGTCCCCAATAATATGAGAGTCGGTTGTAGTGACATTGTTTTGGAGCACATTCGTTGAATTTACATTTTGGCGAAGATCGAAGAGGAATTGGGTGGTAAGTATTGAGACGACCCTGTGAAGAGGAAAAGACATTATTCTGGTTTCTCAGCGAGACCTGCTACTTGCATACATTTCAATAAAAGTGAAAAAGTTGAGACAAACCAAGTCCATGTCTATTAAGACGTGGTAAGCGTATCGTTCTCATGAAGTGATATAACGCGCGCACTTTCCCGTACTGAGTTGTGCTCACGATCATCTCAGCAACAAATAAAATAAGGAACGAGTTATAAAGCAGTCGTGCATGAAGCTCAGTCGAGTGCATCGTGATTCAATCTGAGAAGAAGTGCACATGAAATACAGGCTACCTGACTTCGTCGATCAAAAAGTTACACACATATGAATTGTAGCATTGTGGCTCACCATTCCGCAACAGGAGCATTCTGACCGGTATTGTCGTTCCCATGCCACGAACACGTCTGTCAGTTCAGAACGTTTTGAGCCATGTCACAGCAAGCACAATAACTTCGGCGAACATGGAAGCCGTAAGAACCACGAATGTTACTTAGAGTTCCAAAAGATCAGGCCTGCTAACGTGTGACTCATGACATATGGCAATTTCTTACAGCTAGTACGGCATTCCAATGAGACAATGTGCTGCAGCAGTGGTTACTCACTCACATGTTAATCTTGACAGTGGAGCCATGTTGTATTGCAGCGCACACTGGAACCATGCTGATGTATGACACCTCGAATGATAGCCTGGAGTAGACATACTTGGTATAGGAGGATAAGCGATACGTCCGTTGAACACTGAGTAGACTCACAATATTCCACAGTCCTTGCGCTGCTTCCAATATAAAAACAGATACTGTCAAGACTCAGTTGGTATTGAGGGCGTACACTCGCAGAGCAGATGTTGCTGTGCATGATGACCAGTGTGAACTCAGGGATAGTCCGAACATCAACAGAAATACTGACCTGCTGCAACAGTACTAATCACCACTTGGCAGATTGCGTCTCATACAGTCTCTGATTCACAGCTGGATAATTGTCAGGATAGTCTGGCATTTGTATCCATCTAAGGGGCTAATCACCTCTGAATGACATGTCAGCTTCTTCTACAATACAATCTGGAGAACTCACTGTTGTGTATGAGGAGACGTGGTGTCGAATAACAGAATGATCGCCAACGACAGAAGGGTGTAGCGATTGACAAGAATGATAGCAGTGCCAAGAGTCAGTCTTCTGGCTGGGATTCAGACCAAGACAATCTCTTCGACTAGTGTTCCTAGGTGTTCGCACACAATAGTAGCTGTTGATGGATCATTGATACCAATGACTAACAGGTAATGAGGTGCTCAGCTTCGAGAAACGTACTAGCCATCGCAATATTCCAGTATAAAAAGAAGTTCCTGGATGCAGACTCCATTCTCAGCTTGTTAAATGATGAGACTTCTGAGCCAACTCACACTTCCTGCAACATCCTATAATGTTCTCACTGTCCAGTGAGAAGGTCATGGTAGGCCAGCGGAGGCTTGGACATTTTGAACAGCACACATACTGGCTGAGGTCTGCTGGACATTTATATCAGCATTTTTGATCTGATGACAGCCGCAACATCCCACGTACCACAACTGAATGCTAATAGAGTGCCTAAATTGCAGCCCTATCTTGTGGAAAGGATTTGTTCTCTTGCAGAAATCGTGAAATTTGCAATTATTGAGGTGGTATAAAGGGTCAGATGAGGTATGGCTGCAACATTATAAGACTTCCACATGAAAGATCAAAATTGGTGCTAAGCCCATGCGCTTATTGGTCTGCTCCTGAAGTTGGTTTAGTTTAGTCAAGGTACATGACTGCAAGACTTTAAATGCGAAAGACGTGCTGCCGCAATCAAACCATTGACCCACATCGTTGTCAACGTTGTACAGCCTTGAATTGCAACTTACATTCCTTGGAAAACCAGCAACAAACTCATACGAATCAACGGTAGTATGACAAAACAATTGTCTGCGATTGAAGGGAGAGTCTAGAATTCTATGAGGTCAGATCAAAGCTATCAGCAAAACTTAATACACTGCGTAGAGTGTGCGCAAGAACCACATTTTTGAGAAATAATATACCAGCAGCAGCTGTCCAGATCGAATATACAGTCACTACTCTGGTGCATTATCGCCGAAAGCTATATATGCGAACAGTGTATAGCAGCTTTCTGGCTTGCCATGTGACAGCGAGTATACTAGGCAACAGTCCGCAATACACACTCGTGAGACATGCTAGCCAATGCTGCGATGGCTCACGAAATGGAACGTGGTCGAAAACCACTTGAGTGTATTGCTGAATCTGTCATGCCACATGTGGTCAGATTCGATACTATGATGCTGGGAAGAGTGGCTTCATGGGAAGTGCACGGACTTCCACTGAGTTTCTTCACTTCGGTGTTACCACGGTAGGGTGCAGGGAAATAGAAATTGTGACCTGCTTAACCAGCTATTTAGCAATAGCTCTCTGCAAGGGCCTATTTTATCTATGTAATTTACAGTTAATTAATAAAGGGGGGCTTCCGGGGGTGCAGCCCCTGAAACTCTGGGGTAATTAACGCTAATTAGCCAGTAAATTTACACAAAATGACAGTAAATTACAAGTTCCTCGCTGCTACACCACTACCAACGATCCCAGTCAGGCTGCTCATCCTCGATAATTTCTGTGGCTTTTTTCTGCACTGGCTGATTAAGGTCAGTTCGATTATCTGACAGAATTTCCTTGAGAAAAGCTGAATTGATGTCAACAATCTCAGACACGGCAAAATCTGCCATATTTTTCATCATGTAATCTCACGCATTTCTGAGAAAGTCGGCCGCCTGCTCCACCAGTGTTTTCTGCTTCAGTTTCATTGTCTTCTCTGCTGTGAATTGTTGCATTCATGTCTTGCCATTTGATTACTGGTCTTGGCTTGGGTATCGTCTCTTGCTTGCTTGGGTCATACCGATGGAATTGGCGAATAGTGATTGTATCAGATAAGGTTTGCACATCCTGTGTGGCGTGCCATGCATCACACTACAGACATGGAGCGATTTGCGCATGTGGCAAATGCTTAGCAAATGTCAACAGGTTTTTTGCCTTTATGATCTCAATTTGCTACGGTTCCTTCCCACATTCCGTATTAAGTATTTGCATATAATATGTTGGAGGCAGAAATTTAAAATCATATATTTAAGAAATGACACCATTTTCAAACTCACCAAATACATTTAGAATTTGAGTGCTGTTGAATGTAATTATATATTTTTGAATTTCAAACTATAACATGTATAAAATATCCAGTAGCAGATGAAGGTGTGATTATGCCTACATTCTACTTCCCTACTGAAGTCATTCTAGCCAAGATTACTAGAATGAAAGTCATTCACCGTAATTACACCTTCATCTGCTACTGGATACTTTATACATGTCATAGTTTGAAATTCAAAATGTATGATTACATTCAACAGTGCTTAAATTCTAAATGTATTTGGTGAGTTTGAAAATGGTGTCATTTCTTAAAATACATGATTTTAAATTTCTGCCTCTAACATATTATTATGCAAATACTTAATATGGAATGTGGGAAGGAACTGTAGCAAATTGAGATCACAAAGGCAAAAAACCTGTCGACATTTGCTAAGCATTTGTCACATGCACAAATTGCTTCATGTCTGTGGTGTCATTGAGCCATGTCACCATCGACATTGTTCGCTCATCTGCCATGGAGTTTGGAACTGCCGAGTAGATCTTGATGCCGAGTGCCTAGTAACAACCCATTTCAAGTCATCATCTGTTCAAACCGTTAAAGTGCTGGCAGCTCACCCCAAGAACTGTCGCATCAGCATCCTTCTGTCTCCGCATCCACCAATCTCACATGCTCTGTCCATCACGAAGTGGCTTGTCAAACGGTTCGTGCTTCTTTGCATATGCTCGCAGTTCAGATTGCAGGCCTTTTAAGGCTTGAGCTGGTGTCAAGTGTGCAAGATGAGGATTCCTGAGTTTCATGGCAGCATGAAGCTCATCACTCTTGAGACTGGTGGCAACACCGCTGTATTCGTTCTTCAGTATACATTGCAAGCTCAAGTCAACACGACATAAGACAGGGTCATCGGATGCTTCATTTGTGAGTTTCTGCTTCTCAGCAGTGCCAAACCTGCTTGATGGTGCAAGCCGTATGGAAGGAACAGTGAGCGGGTTGAGATGCTTGAAGACGGTGGCATCACGGTAACCTGAGTTACTTGCCGGTGAGTCATGACAATCAGCGAGCTAATGAGAGATGATTTATGAGGATCCAAGTAAAATGCAGTAATGTAGATGCCTCCAGGTGCATCGTCGATCATCTTCTTGAAACGGTGATCGGTAATGGCTCACACTGCATCTATTGTTGATGGGGACAGATTGATCACATTGTTCGTGAACAGATCGATGAGATGGACAACAACGGCGAGTCAGAACAAGTAAGGCTCCAACATTTCTATCTATTTACTATGTTACATAGTTTTAACTGTTTACTATATCTGTTTATTTACAGTTGGGCCTGTACATAGTAAATAGATGTATATATATACAGTGACCCACAAAACTGTTGATACGATTGCTTACTTCAAATTGTATGGTAAATATCTCCTCAACCACTGGACCAAATAAATGTCATAAGAGCTCATTTGAAAGCCTATTATCATGGCTTTCCAATGCCACTTTGTTTATATTTTTAGCCTATTTTGATCTCAAGATATTTGATACTCTTTGAGGGCCACTCTTATCTACAGTTTTGTGGTGCACACACAAGTTCTCAGAATATTGTGATTCTTGATGTGTTGACAAGGTTCCTTGTGGGAATATTGATTGGATGATCATGTTTCAACATGAACAATGTACAAACAGCCATACGCAACTCTTCACACTCAACCAACATCATGCCAAAAGCTGTTGCTACTGAAACTGTCAACCATGTCATCGCTTTGCTTCAGAATGGCAAATTTGTTCGAGAAATTCAAGCTTTGACTGGGCTACACTATTCTATTATCAGTAAACTGTGCTCCACACACTGCCCCACCATTCCTAAGGCCAAAGAAGGGCATCCTTCCCTTCTTACTACTGCCAATCTTCGCTGTGCTACTTGACTCATTGGGACTGGCAAGGCTACCACATCTCCTGCTGTGGCCAGAGCTCTTGCAAACATTACTGGGAGGGTTGTCAATGCAGAGACAGTGTGAAGAGGTTCAAGGAGGCAGGAATGAAGGCTGTAGTGAAGCAAAAAAGGCCTTTACTCTCTGCAAGGCATCAGAAGGAGAGGATGGACTTCACTTTGGCTCACCAGTATTGGACTGTAGAGGACTGAAGAAGGGTGGTATAGTCAGATGAGACCAAGATTAACAGGATGGGGTCAGATGGAAGGAAATGGGTGTGGAAGAAGCCAGGGGAGAGCCTCAGTGATAAGTTGGTGGAAGGAACTCAGAAGTTTGGAGGTGGATCCTTGATGATGTGGGGCTGTATGGGCTGGGATGGTGTGGGGTATGCCTGCAATATTGATGGCAGGATGGATGCAGACCTTTATGTCAGCATTTTGGAGGATGAGCTGCAGGAGGATTGGGGCAAAACTGTGGAGGATGTGGTGTTCCAGCAAGACAATGACCTCAAGCACACCAGCAAGAAGGCCAAGGATTGGTTCAAAGTCCATGATTTCAACATCATGCTATGGCCCTCTCAATCCCCAGATCTCAATCCCATAGAGAATTTGTGGGGTCACCTCAAAAAGAAGCTTGCAGAGTATCAGGAACCATCAAAGGGAATTACTGAGTTGTGGGAAAGGGTAGAGAAGGAATGGGAGGCTATTGGAAAGGAAGTGTGTCAGAATCTGATTGAAAGTATGCCAAGGAGGGTGGATGCAGTTGTGAAGGCAAAGGGAGGCTATATCAAGTACTGAAAGTATGAGTTTTGTAGAACCTGAATATGTGCCACAAAACTGTTGATAAGAGTGGCCCTCAAAGAGTATCAAATATCTTGAGATCAAAATAGGCTAAAAATATAAACAAAGTGGCATTGGAAAGCCATGATAATAGGCTTTCAAATGAGCTCTTATGACATTTATTTGGCCCAGTCATTGAGGAGATATTTACCATACAAGTCAAAGTAAGCAATCTTATCAACAGTTTTGTGGGTCACTGTAGTATAAATAGTTTTATGGTGATATAGGGCTATTGAGTGCACAATTGCTAGATTTGACAGCACAACAGTGAGCCAATTGAAAGTCCTAGTGTTTAACAGCAGTCACCACTGACAGTTTATCATCATATAGGCTCATGAACATGAGTTTCTTGTCATTTCTTGTATGACATAAGATTTTCTGGTCATTTCTGGTGCAAATGTTGACATTGAATGCTTGTTTTCTGCTCACTGTCATGTGCTTGCTGATGCAAACAGGTCCTTAAAGGCCTCAACAATCACAGAAGCTGCTCACAGTTGAGTAGAACTCCATCAAAAGATGGGACCAAAAAAACTATATAAACTTTATATAAACTGTTTATATGACATGTAGATAACTGTTTACTATATATTATTTATTTACACCTCAGGAGTGTAAATAGTATAAATAGTTGGAGCCTTAAGAACAAGTAAACATCAGCAATGGTTGAGTGAGATGACTCAAGACACTTGATAGCCTTCGCGAAAGGACTTGTAAGTGCAATAAATCTTGTGAGATTATACTCAAACTCGATTGTGTCATAGCTATTCTGCCTGAATACATCTCTCTTAGACTGAGTTACATCAGCAGACCATTCATTGTGAGTACAACATTCAGAAATCACCGGAACGTCAATGATAATACCCAATTCAGGCTTGCTGGTGATATCACGGAACGCAGGTAAGCAGTCGCACACTGAGATTGCCGCCCATGTATATGTACTGAAGTGTGTTTCTTCAATTGTTGTCAGGCCATTCTTGATGTTAAAAGCCGCACGGGCATCCTTGAAGTGTTCCGCAGTGTAGGTTGATTTGTGCATGAACAGCAAAATTGCCTTCAGATCAGCAATCATCTAGCAATAAGGTATGTTAGTTGATGATTGAATATAATAAAATAACTCTATCATCATGCACAGATGTGAATTCTGGCAGCTCACCAATCTGTAATGGAGCCAGGTTCATTTCGTGACAACAGTCTTGCAGATTCAATATATGCCCGAACAACTCGCATATCATCTTGCATGCCTTGCATGTGTTTTCTGTGTTGTCTGACACCACCGTCGAGATATTGGATGTGCCAACGCTCTCGATAACTGGCCTGAGTATCTCCACAATGTACTTTGCAGTGTGACTGATATGAGATGCATCATTCAGATCCATCAGGAAGCCTCGACATTCTGACGTGGTGATATGAATTGTGTATATGCCCTTGAGTTTTCGAATTTTTCCACCATCGAAAGAGATCATCAAGTCGCATATGCCTTGAAGATAATGGATGATCTCTAGCTGCAGTCTCACAGCTTCCTCTGGTATCAACCGGTCACGCAGAGTCGTGGCACTTGTAGACCCCTGATTATCCCTATGGGACGTCGGTCCAAAAATCACTGATTTTTGGACTTCCTGTCCAGACAACCTTCTTCGGAGTTTATGTCTGAACAGCTGTCCAGCCTCCGGGACCTGAAATTTCTGTCTGGACATTGTGACTGACCATTTCAGAGGCCCACCTGTTCAATTTTGTTTGTACATATTTGTTTTGTGGCTTAAAGTAAAATGCTACTATTTTCCTCAACCTTCCCTTTGTTTCATGTTCAGATGCCAGACTGGCCTATCTGAATATATGGAAAATGTCTGGACATTTTGACAGGCCTTTCAGACACTGCGAGGTCATTTTGTCCAGATTGCGGACTGACCTACGGCCTCATAAGTGTCTGTTCATGTCCGGATAGCTGACTGGCCTCTCATAGAGATAATCGGGAGTCCTATTACACACTACAAGCAGTGCAAGTGCATGATCGCCATGGTGTGAGGTGGCGTTCTGGGCTGCCCTCGCATAGAATGTGTTCTCTCGGGTCAAGTACATGTTGCGGACGAGCATAGGTTCAGAATGAGTTTTCTCAGGCAGGCTACAGGCACAGTCCCTACAGGACAGGTACATGGTGTGTCAGGCTTAGGGTGGAGTACACAGTACAGGGTGGCTACCCATTTTTACGCTATGGGATGGTACACAACATGTGACACCCATCCAGGGCAGACCAGTACACATCCAGGTGCCTCATATCAGAACTGACCACCGAAGTCCTCGAGGTGCAGCGTGTGATCGAGATTATCCTCTGAAGTGATGGCGGAGTGAGTCCTGCTGGTCAGGGCACTGCCAGGGGTCAGCAAGGAATCGATGAGCATGTGCAGTTTGTGGATCCATGGTGATATGCTCAACTGCATCTTGGCCATGAGCAGTGCTCCTAACCAAACCTCTACTGGTGGAAGGTGAACTGGGGCTCTGTCCGTCTGCAGTCCCTTTGGGCTACAGTCACAGAAAACTTCAGATGATAATGCAGTGATGGGTGGCCAGGAGTCATTCAGCTGTGTTGCTTGAAACGGAGTCAGATTGGTCAATGGTTCTGGATCAGTGAGTGTCGGACTCGACTGTATGAACACCTCTAACTGGGAAACAGTGGAAAGCTGGAATGTGGGAGTGTGTGGATGTAGATGCAACTCACGACTTCCGTACTCATGAACTATGATGGCTGAAGGTCTGGGCTGTGGCATGAGGACCTGCTATATCTGGAAAGCACTGGTCAAGTGCTGATGATGAAGCCCTAATAGCCTCCGAACTGGGTGAAGCGCTGATGAGCAACCTCCTAACAGCCTCTGAACTGGGTAAAGCACTAACGATGAAGCTCTAAGTGCTTCTGACTAGAACAAGTGCTAACGATGAACTCCTGGGTGCTAGCGAGGCTACGGGATCCGATGGGAATGAATTTCTGGTTTGAGACTTGTAACTGGTGACGTGTGAGCAAAATGCGATGGCGTGAGATATGAGAATGCGATAACGTGGCTTATCTGGCTGAAACCTGAGTTGAGCTAGAGGCCACTGCTGAGAGTGCTGCCTCTCTCAGTGTCGAGAATCCCAGAGACGTAGAACGTGATCGCAATAAATGTAGACGTAGTCAGGCACGATGCCCTAGCGTAGATAAGACAAGAACTGAGCACTGCTGCATGGGGAACTCTGTCGAAAACTCTCTTGTTATTCCTATGTACAGTGTAGATTATATAGTGGATCAGAAATGAGCCAGCTGAGTCACTGAAATGTGTTTCCGATCCATTGAAACCTGTCGCAAAGCTCGTCCCTGCCCCCTCTCCATATCATACAGTCAGAGAACTGGAAGTCTGGTCCTATCAGGATCTGTCGTTCCACTACCCTATCTTCCATTCAGTTAGTGCACTTGTTCATTTTCGAGTTGCCTAACCAGTCATGTTCTGCTCTCATGCTGCACCTTGTAATCGGATATGCTTCCTCATGGCTCGCTCGTCATTTTCGTGTCTCATGTTCACCTTCTGACCCCTTCACATGGTTCCGTGTTTTTAAGCTGTCAGTAAAGTCTTCTTTGCCCACTCTGGACTGCTCTAGCTCAGTGTTTGTCTTTCCAGATCGTGGTGACTCGCTATCTGATTGTGCAACAGTCGGACACAGTTTCCGGCATTTTCCGATTGCAGAATATCTCGGTGTGTATCAACAGGTAGGAGTCAATCGAGTGGACATGCAAACCGGACGCCACAAGGTCCAAATGAGCAGAAGCTGCCCAGTGCTACAAGAGGACCTCAGACTGGCATGTGCAGGAGAGCATGTCGATAGACATACCAAAAGTGACTGAACGGCAGTGCGCCAGTGATACCACTCAACCACAGCAGGATGCGACCCGGACGGGATATGGGCGTGCTTGAATGCCAGCACCTCAAGCAAGAGGAGGTAGCAACAGAGCCAGATGGCACAGGTGATGGCCAGAGAATCAAGCTGAGCCTGTGTGGTGTGAGACATGGCTGGGTGGGAGAAGAGATGGGGGAGGGGCAAGGACAGGCAGAGACTCGGATGCGGACAGAGTCTCGGGGTGGGTCCTCAGACTCTAGGGGGCAAAGCTGACAGAAGGCCATTGGAGGGAGCATCCAGTCTCAGGCAGAGGGATGAGGTCAGATTAGGGCAAAAGTGAACCATTGCAACAGTGAGGCAGGTGAATGGGAACGTGGTTATGAGGTTGCGGAGGAAGTCAGCAAGACTTGATGCAGTGGATGCCGAGCATTGGGGTGGCAAACCAGGAGCTGAAATGAGTGGGTCTCTACTTAAATGAATAGCGAAATGCAGGTTTGGAACGTGGTGCGATGGAGTGGTCAGCAGCAGCAGACCCTCTGAGACAATGAGAAATAGCAGAACAAGTCAACGGGTTGGGGGCCAAGCGTGATAAAAAATGGAGCGAGGACCAGGGTGAGTGCATCCTGGAATTGCGATATTTAAAGAATGCATAGATAGAGAACGAGGCGGGAGCTTTCGAACTGTGTACCTACAAGACTTAGAATGTGAAGTGGCTTGCACAGCAGTGAACAACAACAGGGACAGTGGTCTCAGTTCACCTCTCAGACTTCAGCCTCTACTACACATCAGAGCTCACCTCTTTGCTCTCACTGTTGGCCGTGCCTTGCATGCCAGCAGAATGCAGCGGCGGATATGATACGCACTCATTCTGAGATCCCTGTATTCTGTCCGGAGCCTGTTAGACCTGCCCCAGAACTGTTCTATTGCACATACTTCATGTACATCACCCCAGGCCGTGTCCTCTCGGGCATTGTTTTGTTTTATTTCTCCATCATCTTCTACATTTGGCTTCTGCGTCACCTCTAGATGCAAACCTTCCATGCACTGTTCCCCCTTCATCTCTCTCAGTTGTTTGCTGTCATTTCACAGCTAGCTGAGTACTCACAATCACAGCAGGTCTTGAGTTCCTGCTTCCCAACATCTTGATATTTCTGGAAAATGTCTGACTCTGTCTTCACCTTCTTAATGGGCTGTGTCTTGGTCTCTGCATGATCATCATTGCTCTCTGGCTTTGTCTCTGACCCCCTGCTATTCTCTGGCTTAATACCCTCTAGGCCCAGCTGATTACCATGAAACTTCACTGCCAAGAGCTCCAACGCAGCACACTTTAGATCTGCAGAAAGATATCCGCACTTTTTTGCATGATTCAAAACTCAACTCAAGTTACAAGGCCAGGTCCACGATGTCTTGCATGATGCGCTTGCGATGCATTGCACACACTTCTTCTCAGGCTCATTAGTGCGTCTGCATGGCTTGGTGAGCTGTGGTAGCAGGAGATGCAGCTTCATACCACTTCCTCGACCATCATCATCCTCGTCACTTGATATGAAGTCCGGATCAAGGTATGATGTCAGCTTCTTTGTGTCCGGTCATGGTGCTTGCTTTGTCACCTTTTTGCTGGTACTTGCTTGCTTCTTCAGCTTATTCTCTCAGTGCTTTCCCAGAATAGTCATAAGCGAGTGTGTGCCACCACTTCCCTCGACAAGAATGAGTGCAATAGGCTCATGTTTGGACTTGTCAGCCACAGAAGGGGCTACATCTATCAATGGTGCAAGTGGCAGCTACAATTATGTCATCATACACGTATGCACTGTCAATTTACTATCCAAGCTTACTGGAATGTTAGCTGCAAGATAAACATTTTCTGCATCTGTGATAGAATCAGCTGCCCATTTTTGGAAGTGAACATGCTCTCCAAGGTGTATCAAATTGTCTTCAAACACACCTACAAGCATCTCAATCCCTGGCTCTCGCTCCTTTAACAGAAATGTGTTCCTCGGACCAGTGCATGGACCAAGACGAGCTTCGAGTGCTTGGTTGAACGTCATTCATTGCTCTTCGGGGTCAAGGGCATTGTTCACATCCATGCTGAATGAAGCAAAGGCAGATTCATGGAGTGCTTTATAGGGAATCATGTCAGGAAGGTTCTGGAGGAGTTGATGCAGTGTCGAAATTCTCCTCGCAGAGTTTCCATGGTTGCTCAGTCAAGGATGATGAATAACACACTTTCATGCCATGAATGGGCAATAAGGAAAATCATTATCCTATACAAGTCCAAACAGCATTAGTTCCTCTTGGCGGATATCTCTCACCCTTCACGTCATTGCCGACGCTAACCGACATCCTGAACACCCCCCTTCCCGCTAGCGGGTGCTTACTATTTAACCGTAATTTACCACTGATTTTCAGCCCTTTCAAAATTGACCATAAATTACCAGTAAATTACATAGGTAAAATAGCAGCAGCTAATTAGCATTGGCTATTTCCTCGTGCCCTATACCACGGACATGTACGCCAGTCTCCTAAATCTGATCAGCCACGTACAACTGCCAGTGTGTACTGATCATGATGATGTGGTGTGACCCTGTCAACTGCGTGTCTACCGCACATGCCAATTCTGGCCTGTCAGCACAAAATTTCCATTGTGAGCTGGGTTTTTGAGCATGTTATGAATGAAAAGTTTAGAACGCTGTCAGAAAGAGAACTATGCATTATACCCGATGGTGGTACACCTCGACTATGAGTGTGAATTAAACCACTAATGTGATACTGCTGCAGTTAATGAACAGTACCATGGGGGAATTCATCCATGTAATGATATTGCAAACTGGCATTTGGGTAGAGCGATCGAATTTATATATCATAAACACAGCACATGAACAAAGTCGGTGGGACGCAAGATCCCTTACTGAAATACTCGCAGCTCTCTTGTCTCGCAGTAAAACTCTTGATGAGCAGGTATTCTAGTGCGCGATGCAGATATCCATGCTTCGAGAATGAGGTGTGCAACAGTCACTGCAACTTGTAGGACTCCTGATTGATGAGACGGGATGGCTGTGACACTAAGTGATGTGACGCATCTTGTCTCAGAGTCTTCGACATATAATTCATTCAATCATGTTGTCCATTGTTTCAAAATAGCCTTGAGCTCTGGTGGACATTTATGGGAACACAGAACACCTGAAATCGAAAGTCTCCTTTCATTCAGCTCATTCAAAGAGCTTGTGCTAGTCAAGATCGCAGTGTCTGCCAATGGGTTCGCAAGATCATCCCCAACGTACATGAAGCAGTGGAAGCTGCAGCTCACACCTCAGGTACTCTGTATCACCCACTGTCCACATCGCTGTTGCCATTTCATGTTGAAGGAATAATATATTTCAAGTAATCTACAAAGATCACAGTATGAAGAAGGGTATGAAAGGACAATGTTCAATAATATAATCCCAAGGGATCATACGATAGGACATTGACCAATCAGGATATTCATAGAGTATCGTACGATAGAGAGTAAATATGCCATTGGCCTGTACACACAGCCACAGATCATGTGTTAGATACTGTAGTATTACTCATCTATGTAGATAGATGTGGCTGTAGATACCAGAGGTCCCAGACCTGGTATATGAGGTCTTTACCCACATGTATACATACCAGATAGCTACACCACAATCTATAGTGACTTCTCCACTGAGAGACTCAATTCCTTAACTGGGAGTCTTGTAGCCTTGCCCACTAGGTCCTCACCTTGCTGTGTGTTCCTGCGCATGCTGCACTAGCATGTAGCTCATTCAACATTTCACACCAATGAAGGTGATGGTGACATGCTGTTATGAAGTGTTCCCTGAGAACCTTTCTAACACGTGACCCGATTTATCTTTATAGTGTGTCTTGTGACCCTAGTAGACAATGTAGCAGTGAGGTTCTCACTCTACCCTTGCTAGATCCTTGCTGATCAGCTATTGCACATTCACCTGCAGGTTACTAGGTTCGCTGATCTGACTTCAGACAAGTGCACGAGCTTAAATACCTCTGAGAGCGAGTGCAGATCCCAACTGATGCCGATGATCAAAAGTATCGAGTTACTCCTTAGGAACAAGGTTCTAGTGCAGAGAACAGGTTCTTAGAAACAAGGAGGGAGAGGTTAATCTTCCTGCCCTGATCTGTGTCCCTTATATAGTGGCAGACCTATCATCTGGGGTACTAGTACAAGGGGTCCCTCAAGCTATAGATAGGTGAATGTCACAGATTTTTGTCATAAAGTCTGCACGTGATCTTTCTCATGCCACAGATCACATGCTTCATCAATATCTCATGCCACTCAGCCACAGACACGACACGTAGAGATCAGGTGATAGTTCACATCACATGTTATGGTTCAGACCCATGGATGATATGGTCGGACTTGTCTATTCCAGGATACAATAGAGGAACCCATTTGGGAACAAAGGGAACAAGGACTATTGTTACGCATTGGCCTTCCGCTTCCTATTAGTTTAGCCAGAAGCCTAGATAGGCACGATGTTCACACTGAAGAACAAAAGGGAAACCAGGATAGGCACAATGTTCACATGCATTACTGCGGTGACCATCGATCTTCCCACTTATTGTTCTACTTCTGGACATTCCATTGTTTCATGTACGGCCATTAGCTTATACCCGTAGATAGGTAGCTTAGGTAAGATAGCCCGCTGTATGTGTATATAAGACCAGCATGTAGAGAACGAAACCTCAGATTGTTTCTCCTCGTCTATCACTGTAGCACCTTACTGAGCCTATCAGCTCCACCATATATCTCTCACCCTTCCCTGCACTTGCTTCATCGACAAGTAAGTTCTAGGCTCTTTGCACCACATAAGGATTCAGGGGGATCAGGGTGACATGTTCCACGTGACTGTCCCTTTTTAGTCTCTTTGCTCTCTTGTCCAGTGGTGCTGTGACATTAGAAACAATCTGATCATTTTCTGCACCTCTGCTTAGTGTCTAACACAAGTGGCCATGTATTTTCAGTGCAAGCAGTTTCAGCTGTAGCGTGTGGCTTTTTTAACACAACTTCCAATCCAATCTCTACCCGGCGTGAGCCTCAGCAAGACTCTGAGCTGCCAAAGGCACCAAAGTGCAAGGCCACTCCCAGGATTGACCTTAATGCTCACTACCAGCATCAGGAGATAAACAAGAAGTGCGGAAGGCTCCTCACACTTGTGTCACTAGATGCATCGTCCACAGACAGGCAGCGTGCAGCAGCCAGGCTCGTCGATACAACACACATCATAAAGCGTGGAATCATTCACAAGCCTCACGATCGCACCCCACCACTCAAATGCTACAAGCCTAGAAAGGGACGTCTCACCACTTGTAGTCACAAGCTGGCACCATCTGCAGAGCTCATCACATCCAATGCAGTCCCTCCCCCAATCATTGCTCTAATCTCAGTGCGGCCACTACCGAACTTCATAAAGATAAACACAGTTGCTTGCCCGATTCGTCCACTCCCATCACGAGTCAGACCGACGATTCACATCGAGACCCTTAAGAAGCAGGTCAATGCCACACGCTTCAGGCTCCAATCAATACTAGGAGCATTCTTGTATTGTCTCAAGGATGAGCACCAAGGACCAATCTACAGCCTCGCCACAGAACTCAACAAGGTCTGTGCTGACCTACACACTGGAACGTGCATGTACACGTTCATTGAGAAACAGGTCATCAATATGGTCTGTCTGGAAATAGGGGGCATTAGCTTCAAGCAGATAGGAAAGGAGGAAAGGCTACAGGAAATAGCCAAAGCTCTGGTCTTCATCGCCAAGAAGCGATATTTGAAATTTTTGTATTAAGTCTATACATACATACTTCACAATGGAGGGAGCTGATCGTGCATATGCATCCACATTCAGACAGAGAATGGATGAGATACTCCACCTAAACATTGAGGCAGCACATGATGGAAGCATCCCACATGCCTCACAATGCAATTCACCTGAGCCTGGGCTAGGATTCCAGGACTCTGCATCACAAGTCAGAGGACCTGCATCCCCGACACCATCACTTTTACCCATGTATGTCCCTCCCACTTAGGAGTTTAATGGGCAACAATTTGAGCATCTACAAGATGCGCTCAGGCAGTCCGCTCCCAGAGAAGTTCTGGATCACATCTGCAAATGGGTCATCATCGCTACAAAGCTCATGATCCACATGGAGGTCACAAAGATTTACAATGTGCTCAGAAACAAACTGTACAAGCACAAATGAGCTTTCGACGTGGTCATCCAGATGAACTGAAGCGAGCACCGATTGAAGGAAGCAGTCCTCTCAACGGAAGTCAGAAAACTCAAGGACAATCTAGCGCAAGATGCGCACATAACGGTACTCAACGATGACCTCACAGGGATGCAAGGGGCCATGCTACATATGGGAAAAGAAATGATGGAAACCAAGGCAGCAAACACCAAGCTGCGACATGAGTTAGCTTCACTGAAAGCAAGCGGCATCACAGCGATGCAAGGTTACACCTCCGGCATGGTCCAGTCACACAAGCCCCACGTCAAAATTGCTGAACCTCCACACTACTCGGGCAAAGGAAGTCTGGAGGATTGGCTTCAACAACTTGGCACATGGATGCGGTGGAATGAGATCAATGATGACAAGCACAAGATCACCACAGCCCTGCTACACTTAGAAGGTGGTGCATTCACCTATATGTCAGAATATGCAACCAAGGCAGCAGCACGGCAATCACTCAGCACATCGGATGACTTTGTTGATGTTCTCAAGGTGAATTACAGGACACTCGACCCGGACAAAGATGCGCAACAACACCTGAAGGGGCTCTGTGCAAAGACCTACCCTACCATGGTCTCCTTCACAGAAACGTTCCACCAGTGGGCCATCAAGACCAACCTGGGGCACACTGCACTCATCGGTTATATCGCTGAACATCGTGACAAGAACGTGCGCCAAGCAATGGTGACACGAGACAGCTTAGGTATCGCCGACCCGACCACATGGCCGGAGTATCTCGACCTCTGTCTACAACTCGAGTCAAAGTTCAGAGCTGATAAGGCAGGACAGCGTGGGACAACAATGGCATCATTGGCACCACGGGCTCTGAAAGACCCTAACGCAATGGTCATGGATCGAGTATCCACGCTCACCAAGGAGCAAGAAGGATGGCTAGAAAAGAAATTGTGCGTACGATGCGGGAAACACCTCTTCGTATTTAAACAGCATTGCCCAGACCCCAAGTACAAAGGCAAATTTGAAATGCTGAAATGGGGACAAGCAATGAGGCAATATCCACAACGGTGACATCAAGCAGCTCCGATGATGGCAAGGTGAGGGAAGAAGCAGTCCATGCTTTCATCGCCAGCTATGACATGAAGGGAAAGGAAAAGGAGGCAGAACCGGAACCAGCTGTTGAAGCAGCTAGAATTACGGGGGAAGAAGATGATGAGGATCTTTTTCAGCAGGTTCTCTGAGGTCTGGCCAGAGTTTCCATAGACATTGTAACAGTACCTACTCGATCTCGCATGTACCAGTATCAGATTTTTTATACATTGCATCAACTGGTTTGTCAAAACATGTGATCGATTTACCTGTTCACCTCAAACAGGGAGTAAGGGAAGTCCAGACTGAGGCGCTCCTCGATTCAGGAGCATATTCTTGTTACATCAACCCATGGCTGGTTGATCAGTTGAATTTTGCTACAATCTCACTTGAGAAGGAGATTAGGGTTTATAATGCAGATGCATCTCACAACAAGGGTGGAACCATTAAGAAAAGGGTTCTTCTCAGTATAACTATCAGAAATCACATAAGCAGACAAAGTCTTCTGGTTACCGATATAGGCCACAAAGACGTTATACTAGGCATGAGTTTCCTCAAGGAGCATAATCCCGAAGTGGATTGGAGAAAACTCACGGTCAATTTCACCCAGTGCCCACACAGATGTGCACCCTCACAGGTAGCAGTTCAGAAGGAGGACCTGGAAGACACAAACATCCTCCACATCGAAGACCTGATGGAGTTCGTCGGTTCCCAGGAGTTAGGTGACAACTGGGACGACATGGACAGCTTCAATAGATGGATGTCATTATCAGAAGACCCTGATGCACAAGCTGTAGTGTCACTTATTATGGACCTTGACACCAAGAGGAATCAGGATAGAGCACCACAAAATGGAGAACAGGACAAAGACTACTGGTCAGCCTATGTCCCTAAACACTTCCACGAGTATGGTGATGTGTTCTCTAAGAAGCAGTCAGAATGAATGCCTACAAGAAAGCCCTACAATCATCCAATCGAACTTGTTCCAGAGGCATCGTTACCATGCCCGGCAAAGTTATATCCTATGAACTTACAGGAAAGAAATTCACTCGACACGTGGATAGACCAAGAGTTGGCCAAAGGTTACATTAAAAGATCAAGGAGTCCAACAGCAGCACCTGTCTTCTTCATTAAAAAGAAAGATGGATCACTGAGGCTAGTACAAGACTACAGGAACCTCAATGCAGTAACAAAAAAGAACAAGTTCCCAATCCCATGCATTTCGGACCTCATCGACAGACTCTTACAGGCTAGCATATTTACGAAGCTTGATCTGAGATGAGGGTTCAACAACATACGGATTAAGGAAGGAGATGAAGAGAAAGCCACCTTCATCACACATCGTGACCTCTTCGAACCCACAGTAATGTACTTCAGTTTCTGCAATGCTCCTAGCACCTTCCAAACAATGATGAATACAGTCCTTGAGGACTTAATTCACACAGGAAAGGTGGTAGTCTACTTAGATGACATCCTCATATTTACGGACAATCTCGAAGAACACTGATGACTAGTAAAAGCAGTTCTACAGTGCCTCCAGGACAATGACTTATATGCCAAACTGGAGAAATGCTTCTTTGAACAGTCCTCAATCGAGTATCTTGGCATGATCATCAGCAAGAACTTGGTACAGATGGACCCTGCTAAAGTCGAAGGTGTACTTGGCTGGCCTGCACCTACTAAGGTCAAACAAGTACAGGCCTTTTTAGGATTCGCGGATTTCTACAGGTGATTTATAAAGGACTTTGTGAAACTCGCACGACCCTTAACGCTTCTCACCTGTAAGAACGTGCCCTGGCAATGGAAGGAAGAGCAAGACCAAGCCTTCAGTGTACTCAAAATGGCATTTACCTCAGCCCCGATCTTACAACTCCCAAACAACACTGCACCATACCATCTGAAAACTGACTCCTCAGACTACGCAACTGGTGCAGTACTCGAACAACTAGAGGAAGACAAGCTATGGCATCCAGTCGCATACTACTCTAAATCACTCAATGAACATGAGTGAAACTATGAGATTTACGACAAAGAGATGCTTGCAATCATTCGGGCACTAGAAGAATACCAGCTCTATTTATAAGGGCACCCAGAACCCATTGAGATTTGGTCAGACCATCTCAACCTTACATACTTCCATCAGGCACAGAAATTATCCCAGTGCCAAGCACGCTGGTCATTATTCCTCACCAGATTTAATTTCATTCTCAGTCACCGACCTGGAAAGACAATGCTTCGTGCTGATCCTCTATCCAGGAGGCCAGACCATGAAAGGGGGGGTAGACAGCGACAATTTGAACCAAATGCTGTTAAAACCTGAATTTTTCGCTATCAATGCGATTCGACCCGCTCACGCATCTGAAGTTGATGATGCTCAACTACTGGAAAGGATCAAGAAGGCACTCACAGACAACATGATGACCAAGAATTATTGTGCACTTTTGACTACAAGACAGCACGAATTTGGGAAAAACCTCGCAGAATGGAACTTTGAGCACAGACTGCTGCTCCATCGCGGAAAGGTTTATGTCCCCAAGGATCAACAGCTATGCCTAGACCTAATAAACCTCCATCATGACACACTACCAGCTGGCCACCCAGGCAGGTTCAAGACATTGGAGCTCATCACTCGGAATTATTGGTGGCCAGGAATGTCCGTAATGGTTAAACAGTATGTACAAGGTTGTGACAGTTGTCAACGCAACAAGTACTCTAGGGAAAAACCATACAGACTACTACAACCAAATGAGGTACCAGGAGGACCATGAGAGATCATCACAGTGGATCTCATCACACAACTTCCTCCAGCCATGGACTTTAGAGGAGAAAAGAAGATAGCAATACTTGTCGTCATTGACAAACTCATGAAATGAGCGCACTTTTATGCAACAGATGACACAGCCACCTCATCACAAGTTGCTAACGTATTCTATAATGAAGTCTTCAAACTCCACAGACTGCCACGCCAGATTATCTCAGACAGAGGTACTCAATTTGCGAGCAAGTTATTCTAGGAGTTTTGCCAGAAGCTCAGTATAAATTCAACAATGTCAATGGCATACCATCCCCAAACAGATGGCCAGACAGAAAGGGTTAATCAGGTGTTAGAACAGTACCTTCATATATACTGCAACCACAGACAAAACAATTGGGTCTATTATCTGCCAATGGCAGAATTTTCATACAACAACCAGACCCACGAATCCATCGCACTTTCCCCATTCTTTGTCGAATATGGCTGACATCCAAAAATGGCACCAGACATACACGAATCAATACATCATCCCTCATTGGAACATTTATTTGTCCACCGATCCAAGGCACAAGAACAGGCAAAGGCAGCATTGGAAGTTTTGGCTTCGTGGATGAAATGGTACTTTGATGAGAAAAAGGGAGAAGTCCCATTCAAAGTTGGAGACCTAGTACTACTCAAAGGAAAAGATCTCAGTATAAAAGTCAAATCCGCGAAGCTAGGCACACAAAACTTCAGACCTTACAAAGTACTTCAGAAGCTAGGCCCATTCACATTCAAACTGGAATTGCCCAAGCAAATGAAGGTACACCCGGTCTTCCATGCTAGCAAGTCAGTCATGTATCACCAAGACACGGTCGCAAACCGTGAACCCCCAAAGCCCCCAGCCATAGAAATTGAAGAAGAACCAAAATTCAAAGTTGAAGAAATACTAGACTCGAAAGTTGTGAGGGGAAGGGTCCAATACCTCGTCAAATGGAAAGGCTATGACCATTCTGATGATACATGGGAACCCCGAACAAATCTCACCAACGCCAACGAGCTTCTTCAAGAATTCCACCACCAACACCCAGATGCAGCCAAAGCACCAATCAGGGTCATCACTTTTGGTGGAAAACGCTTCGAGTTATCCTCATACGAAGTTGCCCCGATGTCCACACACAGAATCAACATGTCTGACCACCCGGACGAGTTCTTCCTATATCATAAAATGACAGATAACACCAAATCACTGAAAAAATCCTCAAATGAAGCAGCAGAATGGGATATTTATATTGCAGAAATGCACAAAATTTCTCTGCATTCACGAGCTGTGGTAGGAACGGAAGTTGCAATAGACCCTCCCAAACATACCTATACATGAATAGCTCCATGCAGCAGACTAGCTGCATGAGCAATTGATGTAGGCGCAGGAGTCATTGATCCTGATTACACTGGAGAACTCAAGGTCATACTGATTAACACAACGAATTTCATATTTTTGGTCAAGCCGGGAGATAGGATAGCCCAAATAATCTTCGACTATTACGCCGAAGGGCTTCCCTCCTGAAGTTATCAACCGTTGCGAGCAACTAGAAGGGGAAATAAAGATTTTGGCTCCTCGAGACAATGAGCCTTGAGAGGGGGGTAGTGTCGCAGATTTTCGCCACAAAGTCTGCATGTGACCTTTCTCATGCCACAGATCACGTGCTTCACCAATATCTCACACCACTCAGCCACAGATGTGACGCGTAGAGATCAGGTGATAGTCCACATCACATGTTATGGTCCAGATCCACGAATGATACGGTCGAACCTGTCTATTCCAGGATACAATAGAGGCACCCATTTGAGAACAAAGGGAACAAGGACTATTGTTACACATCGGCCTTCCGCTTCCTATTAGTTTAGCCAGAAGCCTAGATAGGCACGATGTTCACACTGGAGAACAAAAGGGAAACCAGGATAGACACGATATTCACACACATTACTGTGGCGACCATCGATCTTCTCACTTATTGTTCTACTTCTGGACATTCCATTGTTTCATGTACGGCCATTAGCTTATACCTGTAGATAGGTAGCTTAGGTAAGATAGCCCGCTGTATGTGTATATAAGACCAGCATGTAGAGGATGAAACCTCAGATTGTTTCTCCTCGTCTACCACTGTAGCACCTTACTGAGCCTACCAGCTCCACCATATATCTCTCACCCTTCCCTGCACTTGCTTCATCGACAAGTAAGTCCTAGGCTCTTTGCACCACATAAGGGTTCAGGGGGATTTTAGGGATCAGGGGGATCAGGGCAGCACATTCCATGTGACTGTCCCTCTTTGCTCTCTTGTCCAGTGCTGCTGTGACAGTGAAACACACTGGAGCATAACTGCTATGAGCCAGGTAATTGGTGAGCTAATGTTAGCACAGGTGAAATAGCTGAAATATGAAATAGGAACCAAAGTCCTGGATCACAGATCCTGAGGTTAGAACTTGAGAACCCTAGAAGCTGTCCTCAGTCACATAGTGACTGATATCACCTGATCATGATTGAGCATCTCTTCTAGGTGCTTGTTCATGGAGATCACATGATGATGAGCGACAGTACGCTTCATAACACATGCTCGTATCACTACTGCCACGAATCAGGGCACAAGGAAGAATAGACTACACACGTGCGACAAACATATGCCAGCTCTCTTCATCGGGTCGCATTGCAATTGCATCCTTCACATTCTTGAGGCACACATGAACGTCAATCTGCTTCATGCGTAATGTACCACAGGCTGCGCCGCAATCCCCTACAGACCGTCCACCGAGCAACCATGCACAAGTGGGCTCTGACTGCGTCTTCGTTCATCCGGTGCAAGCATCGCAGGGCTAGAGTTGAGAGGGAGCTAGTAGGCGATGATAAGTGATTGGTGATGGAAAGAGAAATGATTTGCTTGTTCTTTGATTGATTGAAGCATGCACGAAGTTAGAAGATGTGATGTGGAAGAAGTCAAGCTCATTTGCAATTGGCAATGCATGTGTTACTGTCTTAACACTGCAGACATGAAGGCATTTATTCTCATTGCAAATGCTCTGATAATGTGTTCTAAAGTGTGACCTATGCCAATGCTATGCCCTAATTAGGGACTTTGTGTCCCAAAAAAGGCAGTTAATTACAATTTAGTAACAAAAATGAATGGTCGCAAACTTTGCTTTCGTGTCTGCGGTGTGAGTCCAGCTGCAGAACGTGGTCTGTGGAAATTGGTATACGGTCGTTGCACTGTCATGCAGCAGAGTCGACACAGCATGGGAAAAGAGCTTGTATTGGGCCTGACGGCCACTGGGCAAGCTCGTAAGGAGCTGCCCGAGTAGAAACAGCAAGTTATATACCAGTAGCTTATGTAAGCTAAACTCTAACCTTATTCACGGTCACAACCACAAAACTCGGATTGCGACACACCCCCTTGAGCATAGGAAAGATCGCGTATAATGAATGAAAGGTCTGGACATACCAGAGAACTAAGAGCACCCCCTCAAATGGGGTAGACTATGAATGAGCACAGCAAAGGGGTCATAAAAGTAAAAATGCGCAACATGAGATCAAAGCAAAGCACAAACAAACGATGTGCAGCAACTTGACAGCCAGCGACGGAGATGCCTCCGAAGAGGACTTCGCGTGCCTCGGAATGGGGATGGAAGAAGCCTGTGTCACGACCTTGATGACGGCTGATGGCGAAACATGAACAATGCCTGCGCACGACAGCAGCTTATGGCGAGGGCAACTTGATGGTACAGCGACTGACCTGCCCTGGAAGAAACCATCCCTCCCAAACAACTTCTGGCCTAACCTCGCATCCTACACTCCCAGATCCCACCAACCAAATCAGCATTCACTCTGAAAAATGCCCAGCTCACGATGAGGCAATGTGATGCCGCCAGCCTCTGTCCTGGCACAGAGCTCAGCCATGGACATCCACGCATAACTGCACTCCAATCACAGCTGCAACTGTGAGGCTCGCAAGCAACCCACCACGCTGTCACTAAGACAACTGCCGTCAAACAGACAGCCCACGACATCGAAAGTCTGTCTTCGAGTTGAAAAACATGGGGGAAAGGATAAGGAATTGAATGGATGCCATAGAGTTGTCGAGGACTTCGATGAACGATGCTCGCGAGAATGCGCGAGCGGTGTAGCAGTCGACCAGTCAAAGAACGAGTGACATAGCGAGAACGACCGTACAAGCCAGGGTGACGGGCGGCACACCTGGACGAGCTTGTGTGGAAATCGGTGTACGGTCATTGCACTGTCACGCAGCGGGGTCAACACAGCATGGGAAGAGAGCTTGTATTGGGCCTGACGGCCACTGGGCAAGCTCGTAAGGAGCTGCCCGAGTAGAAACAGCAAGTTATATACCAGTAGCTTATGTAAGCTAAACTCTAACCTTATCTACGATCACAACCACAAAACTCGGATTGCGACATGGTCTATCTCAGAGTGTGTGAATATGCGCATGATCACGCAAGCTTATAGCATCGTGTCGGGACCTAAGAACTTCTGCGCACGAATGAGTCTTCGACTATCGCTCGCCCTCTACCTGAGACACCTTCCGCCTGTCGAGCTACCCGCCGGGTCTCGACTATGTGGCGATGAAATTCTGAACACATATGAGAGCATTCTCGCTACCTTCATATGACTCAACGTACTCGATAATTGCAAAGATGCACTTCGCGAAGCGCTGGAAATGCTAGACCGCGATCCCGCCCGCTCGCGATACTCCAGGAAGACTCAATAACTTCTAGTACATGCGCATTATGCGGTAGATTGCTTCGTCAATATCACTGCATGGCGTTAATCTCCGTCAGTTGTCGCCGAAGCGCTGCTCTTTTTTTCGCGGCACTTGCACATTGTTGCTGCCAAACCGACGTTGCAGACATAGTACGTCGTCGTCGTTTTCCGGACTGGAACGTTCGCAGGCACTCTTCCGGGCATCATAACTCGCCGTAATATCAGAATACGGCAAAGGAAAGCAAAGCTATGCACGACAAAACAATCCCACGACTGCATTCTGGACGAATATCCTAGATATGAGTAACAATGACCACGCTTGCGTCAACTAGATGGATACTCACACGAGAAGGGGGCTATATAGGCTGGAACGTTGCATATTGATCTCGAAAGGTCGACTGAATATGTTAACGCTATTAGCTTCGCACAGTACATGAGACCGTCGAGGATAAAAGATGCACGTTTCTTGTCGCGAGCAACAAGGCCGCCCTCTTTCGCAACGCACTAATCATGACTCAAGGCCGTCGGAAGCCTTTTGAGCCAGAGCACGGCTATGCGTCCCACCTCGCCAAGAAAAGAGGCGCGTTCCGCGCTCGTATCCATCAGGAGCTCCGTACGCCTTCCACCTTTTCTGATGACGCACTCCGTCGCTCACCGCAACGCTCAAAAGAAAAACTCACAGAAAACCCCGAGTTCAAGTATGCGGGAGCTGACATGCGCTGGACCGCCCAGGGTTTCTACAAGGACATCGTGCTCAAGCACAAGCTTGTTCTCGATGGATGGCCCGCAAACGTCATCTTTACGAACCCGAGTGGCATCCGCGGCGGCATACACGTCTTCGATGACCTGCGGAATAGGATGGAGAAAGGCGTGCTGAAGTTCCGCGCCATCTCCAATGGCGAGGCAGCCAAGCTCGACGCAGTAAGCGCTGCACCGGGACCGATCCCACCTCCGATACTTCGTCCGGGAAGATGTGATATCGGCAAGCACCGCTATCGGCCGATCACGAATCCGTATGACCTTCCAAGACGGAGGGTTGGGATGGGGCCCAGGTCTCCGCCGTTCGTGTTGGATGCAGATCTTGAGGACGAGGGTGTGGCTGATGTGGAACAGTATCCTGAGACAGCAGGTTCGGAGTGTAGTGGGGGGAGATCTATGGATCTGGATGACATTGAGGAGTTTTCTGTGTAGCGGTAGCTTGCTGTCATCAATGTTCGCGCTTGTTTGTCAGACGTCCCGCTTATCATTCTGTTGTATGAGACGGATTCAAGATAAAGACATGGCCGGTCAAACCTCGATGTATCTGCGAGATGAGCTCGGCCAATGTGCCTCAATACGCAACAGCCGCTGTCATCTGTGCAATGAATTGTCCGAAGTCCCGCAACGTTTTGTGGGGGCTTTCGCCTCGCCGATATGTAGGCGTATCTTCTGAGCAACTTCACGAACACGTGGCCTCCTCGAATTCACACAAGCAAGAATAAGATCACGACTGCAGTACTTACATACGTCTTCGCTGAGAGCCGTTCTTCAATGCGCACCTCAACGCCCTTTTATCTCCTCCTCGAGCCTCTTCCAAACCTTCCTGCCGAACTCGTCATCATATGCCTCCAGGCGACATCTTGCTGTACGCGCGATCGGAATCAAATACTACATGACGTCGTTTTCAAAACATCATTCTGTCGAATAGCACGGATCGACTACGAACCTCTCCATTCGCGTGAACTGCCTCGGGCATCGTCCCCGCCCATAGCTGCGTGAGTGCTCCGAAAGGCGTCGGACGGAGGACGATTGCAAACTGTCGCGCAGATAACGTTCATATAGATTGCGTGCCGTACACGCAACATAGAACCCAAAAAGAGACTTACTACAATGCGTGTGAGCACGCCTGAGATCCCTGTTCGCTCTCTGTCGTAACGCTGCATGTCGGACACGATGTTTCCTGCGAGGGAGACATTGAGAATCAGCATTGCCTGTTAAGAGACAAAGCCGATCTTTGGGGCCTACCTGGGTCGACGGAAATCGAGACGATTCCTTTATCAGCATACCGCCTCGCTATCTGCCTCGCGACGATCACGTTTGCCTGCCGTTCATCTCAGCCTCAAACGTACAGTGAATGCGGCAAATATTGTGGCCACATACCAGCTTGCTCTGAGCATACAGCAAGTCGACCGCGGTCCTCTGCCGGGCAGGACCCTCCTTCCATGAGTCAAAATTGATGTGACCGAGCATCGCGATGGAGGATGAGGTCGTGATGATTCGTGCGTGACGGTCAGGAGATGACTCAGCACCGGCGATGAGTGAAGGCATGAGCATTCCGGTGAAAAGGAAGTGGCCTGTGAAGGACGGGCAAGCGTCAATGAAGAGCGGTGGGAGAAAATGAAAAAGCGTACCTATGACGTTGGTACCAAAATCGAGGTCGTACCCGTCGGCGGTGAGCTGTTTCTTGAATGGGATATTGACCCCACTGTCACGACAGCGCACGCACGCACCTCAGCTCAACGCATGAATGCTTAATACGAGCAAACGCACGCACTATTAAACAACACATGCAGCTCTGGTTCCTTGCTACCCTCAGCACATCACCATCTCAATATATGCGCTCAATTATCATTTGATGGACGATACTCACCTCAAAAGCTCCTCTGCAGCCCTCCGCACTGACTTCAAGTTGGCCAGATCCAGCTCGAGGAAGATCGGTTCCTTGTCGGTCTCCTCCTTGAGGAGCGCAATGGCTGCTTCGGCACGCGATCTGCTGCGCGAGGCCATATATACCTTGGCATTATGTTCCAGGAGGGCCTTGATCGTCTCCCAACCAATACCCGCATTTCCGCCTGTGTCGTCATGCGAATGAGAAATTTTGAAGGCTGGTCAGGTGAGAGCATCGTACATACCGGTAACTACCATCACGCGGCCCGTGAGGTCAGGCATTTTATCTGTTGTGAATTCTCCTCGAATGAAGAAGGCACGCCAAATCACCAAAGCGGCATAGTACACTTCTGAAAGCAATCCCATGCTTGTTGCTCGAATGCTAGGAAGATACAACGATATATCCTGGGGAGTTGAACGGGACTGCGTATGAAGAATGTGAAGCGGATATAAGGACGTTGCGCTGCAGAGCACGACGCCTTGGTTTCCTACGTAGACACTAAGACAGCAAGAAGATAAGCACACGTAACGTAGCTATCCCGAGAAGTACGCGCCCTCACTTTAAATATGTCGTATTGGGCTGATGGCGACCACTCCGGCGACGAACTGTGTACGCAGGCCTTCGGCATCGGGACCCACGCCTTAGACTAAATAGCGCTAGACATCCTAGGTCGTGTTGAAGCTTCAAAATTCCTTGGCAGGCAGGCAGGCAGGGCAATGAGCAGCTTCACATGGGTAGAGCTTGCTGTCGTGGATTGCGCGTCCTCACCAGACATCCTGGTTTCAATAATCGTGCGTTGGAGACGGGAGCCGCCCATGGATCTTGAACTGCAACCACCAACTGCATCGCCTAGCGCCCGGGGATCCTCCCCTGCACCCTCTGAATCTCTGTATGAAATCTCCTCTGCAACCCCTGACCTCACCCTGGCTATACGCCAGGCTCTCCGACCATGGCAGTCTCAGGGTCCCTCTGAGTTGTTATATGATCTGGACAGTGCCATCGATGCCGTCTTCGCGGTGAACAAGACCATGCTTCGTGTCCTGCAACTTGCAGGCCACAAGTACTGGGCAAGCATCCCCGTCCCCAACCTTCTCCTGAAACAGCGATTCAACTCAGCAATCGCACAATGCCGTGGCACTCCAGGGAAGGGGGCTCCTTCCCCCCCTGCGGCTGCCAATCAGCCCGCACCCACCTCCGCTCCATCTGGACCCGACCTCACGGCGGCCCTCCAGGACCTCCGCTCCGCCCTCGACACCAGACTCGATGCTCTGGAGACTCGAATGGCGAATGCGACCCCCCCGTCGCAGGCGAAGGCTCCCCCTCCTCCCAAACCTCAGGTGCGTGGCGTTCCCAAGAAGCGCTCGTACGCGGCGGCAGCCGCCACCTCTCATCCAGCTCCTCCCGGGATGACTCCGAACCTGCCCACTCCCTCGAAGGCTCCTAAGACCAAGAGTTCGCCAGAGCCTTTGAGGTATATAGTTCGCTTTGCTAGCTCCGCGCCGGCACATCTGCTTCAGACGCCCCCCGCCCAACTTGTCAGCGATGTGAATACAGCACTGGCTGCAATTCCGACTGCTGGAGGGCTGACTGCACTCGCAGCCTACCCGAGCTCCTCTGGCAACATCGTCCTGGCTTTTCCCACTACCACCTCATACCGCCGCGTTGACGAACACCTCCCGACCCTCCGTGCTGCCCTCAAGATTGATCCGGACCACCATGTCTCCAGGGATGTCAAATGGTCCAGGATCCTTCTCGGCAATGTCAGCACGCGGACAGCCCCTGGCGGCGATGTCCATTCGACGTCGACTCTGTCGACCGAGCTCATAAAGAACCCTGCGCTTGCGCGCCTACGCATCACCCAACCCCCGCGCTGGGCACGTCGACCTGAGCAAATCGACGGTGCTCGATCGTCCGTCGTCCTCGGTTTCGAAGACCCGGACGGCTCTATCCTCACCGCCCTCCTCAAGACCCCCCTCTTCGCCTTCGGTACTCCCGTCACCACGTCGCGCTGGCGTGATAAGCCGCGCCTCCGGCAGTGTACGAGGTGCTGGGGATATGGCCATCTCGTTGCAGGATGCACGAAGCCACCCCGGTGCCGTGTTTGCGCCGGCCGCCATCTGGAATCACTGCACCGTTCGCGATGCACGTCGTGCGCGCAGGAGAATCGCGCCGCCTCAGCCCCCTGCGATCATTCGCGCTGCGTTAACTGTCGTGGGCTCCACCACGCCGATGCCGCCACTTGCCCTAAGCGGGCCGCTTTCCGGGACCCAAGCACAACCCTTGGCCACGTCCCCTCTGACTCCACCCAGGTCCGCTCAGCTGGCGACACGGATGTCGCCATGTAGCTGTAGTCGTGTCCCTCTTCACCTTTTTCTCCTCAGATCTCCGCCCTTTGTGAGAACAACCTCCCCAGTCGATACTCCAGCAAGCTTTTTGGGAAGACGAAATTCTTACCACACCATGCACACGCCTTCTCCGGCCTCTTCGGCCTGTCGATAACCTTGCCAAGCGGGTACCTGTCGACACCCTTTCAAGTCGTGCAGCTGGCCTCGTGCAGAACTGAAACACCGCGGGATTAGGGACCCGGGGGTGCAGCCTATACTGGAACCACGTTCGAAGGGAGGGGTATTTGATTAGTTGGTAGTGTTCATGTTTCAAATGCGCCAGGGTCTGCTAATTACTTACTGTTCTTCATCCATCACCGCCTACCTCGCTCTCCGCCCCTGCCATTGGATACGGTAGTCCAGCGCTATTCTTTCTTTGTACCTACCACCATCGTCAGGTCCGCCTCCGGCGGACCGCTGTTGCCCTGCAAATAGTATCAAAAAAAAAAAAAAAGACGGGAGCCGCCACCTCGCGGCGGACTCTCAATCGACTAAGCGCGCGCTAATACCTTGCGCAGCTATTTGACTACCGTGGGAAACCCGTTGACAAAGGTAATAACTTTGACTACAAAACCTTACACTCCTATATTTGATTTCGTCTTTATACCGACTAATTCTTGCGACATAGATCCTATATCATGGAAGCGTCATATTTACAGAATGCGGTTGCAGTGTTTGCCAGTGCCTATAGCGTAACCAAGAGGCGAAAAGATACTCGGCTTGCAATTACTAGGTCCAAGCTCTCAATCCTTATATGGTCTTAGTATCCCGGCATCAGCTCCTTGTGAAGAACAAATTCTGGCGGCATTCGACTCCACAAACCGATGAATCAGGTGCAGAATAGTGGTCGGGGAGATATATGCTAGTCATGGCACTACAGGCCCTCATCTCTCAGATAAAGCTCCCGGCATTCCGCATGCCTTCACATAGCATGACACACGCCTCGAGTCGACGCAAGAAACATAAACAGACCAGAAGAACCTAGCATCGTACACGATACGCCTGTCTCCGGGCATCGCCTTCATTCCGCGTCTCATGGTGACAGTCCACCAAGCCTCAATGCCCCTTCACCTCCTCCTCGAGCCTCTCCCATACCTTCCGGCCAAGCTCGTCGTCGTACACCTCCGAGCGACATTTAACGACTTGTGCGGTCGGGACCGCGAACTGCATAAATCGATAATCTACTCTCCATCCCACCGAGCAAACAGGAGCAGGATGCGCACCTCTCCATTGGCATTGATCGCCTCGGGCATCGTCCCCGCCCACAGTTGTGTAAGTGCGCCGAAAGGTGTCGGGTGCAGAAGGAGCTTTAACTATTGCGCCAGGAACGTCATGAACATCGACCCGCTGGAGTGCCCCGAAGCGGACAAGAAGAGACGCACCACGATGCTTATGAGCAACCCTTCGACCCCGGTGCGCTGCCTGGCGTAACGTTGAAGATCACTCTTGGTGTTCCCTGCGGCATGAGAAGCAGAGGTAGCATTGACAGCGGTAACGGGAGTGCGCATCGAAGTCTACCTGGGTCAACGGAGATGGAGATGATTCCCCTATCCGCATACCGCTTCGCGATCTGCCTAGCGACGATCGCGTTCGCCTGCCATTTGTCAAGACATGATGCATCATTAGGTCTGTTTAATCAAAGCGATGCAACAGCCACGCACCAGCTTGCTTTGAAAATACAAGAATCTGACCGATACATTTTGTCGGGAGGTGCCTGCCTTCCAAGAATTAAAGTTGATATGACCGAGCATGGCAGCACCAG